ATATTGTTCTAATCATATATATTTTCGGTTACAGAGCAACTTATAAACAGACTTCAGCTAAACAATATATTTACAATCCTCTGGAATCTGGAATGACCCAAAGTGGTGGATTTCAATCTGTTTCAATTTGTAGAAATCAATTGGAATGAATGTAACCCATTTATGCTAAAAGGGACTGTGTATAAATTGATAAATTGACTTTAAAATGACTTTATTAAACAATGCTTAATAAATACATTCCAGTCAATCAAAATTCACTCTTTAATAATGAGATTGGCCTTTCGATGCCCATATGGTCTTTTAGTGAACTTTTAGTAGTTAGCCAACTGTCCCATTCAAAAAACTGAGGGCAAAACCCCCCCCCCAAAAAAACCAAACTACAATATATATATAGCAGAGTTTAAATATTAATTATATTAGAATATCAGATTAACTATGTATTTTCACAGCAGAAAAGGTGGCATTATACTAAGCTTACAATGGGTAGAGGGGGTTAGACCAGACAGGGTGGGGATCTGTACAGATTCCAAAGCAGTTTTAGAAATTATTCAGGGAGAAGGAAATGATTGAAAAAAATTAGTACCGTATTACAAATCCAGCACAGTCTATTTGGATTATATAGGGGTGGCACTGATATTTGGTTATGTTGGGTTCCAGCACATGATGGTGTAAAAGGCAATAAAAAAGCAGATACATTAGCAAAAAGGGCTTTAGAGGGAACAATAACCATTTCAGTTGCTTTTGGGAAAGGGGAAGGTAAATCAATGATCAAGAGTAAAGAAATGGAAAAATGTCAAAAGAGGTGAAACGAAGATAAGAAAGGCAGAGGATTATATAAGGTACAAAAATCTGTATTAAATAGAATCATTAATGAGAGAAACAGAAGGGAAGAAGTAATAGTGATGAGATTAAGAGTGGGTCATACCTATTTAAATGACAATTTATATTTAATAGGGAGGAAAAATAATGATAAATGTGAAGGATGTGGAGAAAAAGAAAATATAGAACATGTACTGATAAACTGTAAAACTTATGAACATGAAAGGGAGAAATTCAGAAGGATTCTTGGATGGACAGGACAAGAATGGAGTCTTAAAGGAATATTAGGAAATGAAGGAAATATAAAGGATATTCACAGATTAAGGAAAGCATTATTTATTTATTTATTTATTTATATAATAAAAAATTAAAAAATAGAATTTGATGTAAGGTAATTTTGCTACACATTCATGTTCAGTAGGTGGCGGTATGCATATTGAAGTTGCTTGTGAGCTACCATAATAGAAAAGCAGAAGAAGAACATTACAACTTTACCTAGGACTATTGAACGGAAGCCTAGAAGGGACAGTCCTTGCGAGTATTGCACCGTTTTGTTTCACTTCGACTGAAATGATTGGTGCAGCTTAAACTCTTGAAGTCCTGTTTTGTTTTAAAGCAGGGCCCGGGTAAGATAAGTCTATTAAAGCAAAAATGTATTTTATCGACGTGCTGCGGTTAACTGTAACTTTGACCGTTAACTGAGCAGGTAGAGCTAGCTTTAGCTCTGCTGCTAGTCTGAGCTGTCAGAGCCGCTTATGCAAAAAACTATTTACTTTAATATCTGCTTCTATGAACAGAATTTAAAGTTTAATGTAGTTATACTTAATAGTGTTACAATAACAGCTTATTACAGTTGAGGTCCAAGTTGCGGCCCAAGGGCCATCTGAGGCCCTAAAAATGATTTAGTGTGGCCCCCCATCACCCCCTGATCTGAATAAGTTTCCAATCAATAACTAACATAAAATTAAAACCTCTCAATAAAATCCTTATCAAGATAAGTTAAACACAGGTGCTTTAAAACATAATGACTTTACATTTCTAGGCTGTTTTTTATTTTTTTCTGATTTGACCTAGTGAAATACAGGACATTGTTTTGATTGTCTGGACAGTAGGACATAACGGAAAAATGTGGGACAATGCAGCACAGATCTGGACATATTGTGATCGTAATAATTTCCAATGAAACTTTGTTAGAAAATGGCTGACGATGTCAAGTTTGGCAGGTTTTTGACATTTCAGTATCGATAAGTAACTAAATGAATGTGAGGAAGCAACACATTTTTCTGCCACACAAAACAATCTTGGGATCATTTTTCTCTGAATACTTTAAAAAACTTCCCAAAACTTCACAGAGTCTAATATTAAAACATTGATCCCTGTTAAACAATTATAAGAATAATAAAAAAAGAAAAATAGGATGAGATTTCCCACACAAATAGAAAAACTCCAGCTGCATACAGGTTTTCCTTAAAGAAAATACACCATCCTGCTTGCGTAGAATTAGTTTTTTTTTTTTTTTTATGCTTTGTTTTTGCTCAATTTCTTAAATCTTAGCTGTTGCATCATCAGAGGTGTGTAATTAACATTGAAAGGATATTCCAAACTTTTTCCTCAAATTCCCAATCCTGGGTAAATATAGCATTTAATGCATTAAATTTCCATGTATTACTTCAATAATCTGATTTATTAATTCCTTTAAAATAAAATGTTGCATATTTAGTTCACTATATAGGTGCAATAAAAAAAAGTTGAAATATTTATATTTTTCCATTTAAAATAAAAATTATATTTATATTTGGAATAGCACATTGTTAAGTATGGTAGAGGTTCTGTGGTGCTGCGGGCCAGATTATCTTCCAAAAGCACCATTTAGTTTATAATCAAACCGCTTCTATATTTGAATCAAAAAGAATTTGGAAACGTAAACTCTCTTTCATCACCAAATTAATAACTGCTCTTTTTTTTTTGGCATGTCTTTTCTCTTTGTCCTGATAGAACGCCACTGATGCTGACAGGATGGAGAAACATCTCTTGGACTCTTTCATTACTCGCAAGCAGAAGACTTTCCATCTGTAAAAGCTCAACCTTCAGCACAGCGCTAATCTCCTCACCTTCAAGCATCGTTCCCCGCCCCCTTTCACCAACTCAGACCTTCAGCTTCTTCACCAGCAGACTTGCCTCTTCTTCTACTCATTGCTCCGCCCCCCTGGAGTTACAGGAGGTTCTGCAGGTACTGGAGCAGCTCGCTCCTCTGTCCCTGGCTGAATCTTGGGACAACGTTGGCTTGCTGGTGGAGCCGAGCAAATCTCGGCAGATCAAAACCATCATGCTTACCAACGACCTGACCGATGCCGTCATGGAGGAGGCAGAGACCCTGAGCTGCGACCTCATTATTTCATATCACCCACCCTTGTTTCGGCCAATCAAGCGACTGGTTCAGAAGGACTGGAAGCAGCGACTGGCCATCCGCGCTGTAGAGGCTGGGATAGCGGTCTTCTCCCCACATACGTCCTGGGACAGCATGAAAGGAGGGGTGAACGACTGGCTGGTTGGGGGTCTTGGTAGGATTATTTTGTGATTTGGAAATATGTTACGTAAAGAGCAAAAATGTTTATACATCTTACAAATTTAACATTTGTTCACAAACTTTATGTTTTATTGGGAACAAACATAAAGTTGTACATAGTTGTGAAGTGAAAGGAAAATGATGAATAGTATTCAAGTGTTTTTACAAATAAAGTTAGAAAACAAAGATGAATGGACAGCATCTGTGAACAGCTATTTTTAAGTCTTTCCAGAGATTCTTAGTTGCATTAGGTCGGGAATTTGACTAGGCCATTCTAATAGAAGCATTGCTTTGATTTAAATCATGCCATCATAGCTCTGGCTGCAGGTTTACAGAGTTACTTTCAGGATTGTCCTTGATTTAGCTCCATCCATCTTCCCTTCCACCTCTAGCCTGTTTTTGCTGAAGAAAAGCATCCTGTCAGCATGATGCCACCCCTAGGTCTCATTGTTGGCGCTGTGTTTATTTTCCTTCACACATAGAGGCCAAAGACTTTGGTCTCACATTACCCCTTATCCGTAGAAGTCAGCTCACAGCTAATAGTTCTAGCTAATAGCAACTCTCCTTGATTTTCCATGAGCCTCCTGGGTGCTTATCTGTTCAGTTCTTCCTGTTTGGCCTTTTAGGTTTAGATGAACAGCTATATATTTGTAGGATTACTTTTTTTTAACATGATGGATCAAACAGAGCACAATAAAAAGTTAAAATTTTGGGATCTTGTGTCTTAACCCCATAAATTTCATTTCTCCAGAACTTTATTCCTGACAGTTTTTATGTCTTTTTTAGTTCTCTAACAGATGTCCCTGAAACTGTAGGTTGAATTAAATAATTAGCTGTTGGATGCCCATCATTTCATCTAATTGTAAAAAAAAAAAAAAAAAAAGTTTAATTTTCTTTTCTCCTAACGACTGTACCATTTTGCGTTGACGTCTCACATTAAATCCTAATAAAAGTTTGTGGTTGTAGATGAAAACAAAGTTTAAGGGATGGGAATACTTTCATAAAACCCTGTTGTTTTGTGTTTCTCCCTCATCTTGTCTGTCAGGCAGTGGCCAGGTGTCTGTGCTCAGTCAGGCCCTTGGCAGCGCCTCCCACTCACACAAATTGGAGTTCATGGTCAGGAGTTCAGAGGAGCTCAATGCTGTTTTGGAGGAGCTGAAGGCTTGTGATGGTGGAGCAGGGCTTCAGAGTTCAAGCAGCAGGTGATGTGAATGTTGAACACTTCTGCAGCATGACTTTGTTCGTGTGCAGTATTGAAAGTAAGCATTATTCTTTTCAGAAAAATATGTTGGATCGAAATCATACACTTTATAGAGAATATTTGTTTCAGCAAAGCTGCTAAAACATGATAAAAAATATTTTATTTTTAGTGCATTCCTTTGAAAATAACATTTTTTTTTTGGTGCTACACAAAGACAAGACAGCAGCAGCATTCACGTCAGCATAACCTGCAGTGACTCAGCACTGACTCCTAGTGTCCAGACTCTGTTAAGACACAATACTCCCAGTCAGTCCCTCAGCATCCTGAAGTTGGAAAAGGTAAACTGTCCATGATAGAGGCAGCTTTTTAATCTAATAGAAATCTCAATAGGAATTTATTTCTAAACTGAAAGAAATCTGTTGCATTTAATAATTAAGGAAAATTAATAGATATGATGCAATAGTGTTTTATACACAATAGCAAATCTCTAACTGTTTCGCCTCCCCCACCTGCAGCCACCTCTACCAGGCTATGGCCAAGGACGACTGAGTGTTTTGGACCATCCGGTCACCGTGTCAACAGCTGTCCAGAAGATGAAATCGCATTTGGGTTTAGTTAATCTCCGGTTGGCTCTGGGAGCAGGAAGGACGCTAGGTGAGGAGAATTGGACACACAGACGCCATTGAGAGCCCTTTTTCTGACCTTTTAAGCCAATAGTCACTAATTCCCCGTAATCTTTTGTGAAAGGGTTAATTTTCACAACAAAAGTAAATTACAGGCAGCACCAGATGCATGTATATTTCCTATGCACTCGTGGTAAAACCTGCCTTAGATTATGGTTTATTCTTTGTTTTGTATTTTTCTGTATGTTTTAGGGACTCACTGCCTGCAGATTTATGCCTCCTTTCTAGTTTTCAAGCTCAAAGTAAATTATTCATTTAATGTTTATTTATTTTCAGACAGTCAATGGCTGCAAAAAACAGGAAAAGCTAAGAATAACACACAAAAAATGCTATTCCAGCCAGCAGATAATTTCTTTGTGCATCTTAAATATGTTTTTCAATATCTTTACTTTTAAATTTAAGGTACTGAATTTAACCTGCTTTCTTAAAGGCCTTTCATAATGTTTTAATGTTTTTTCTTAACCTCTGCTTGCTTTAACTTGCATTTGAATCACTTTTTCTTTAATCCTTCAAAAGAGTGAAAGAAAATTCTAAAACCAAACATTAAAGATCTTGTGTTTATTCTGCTTCTATTAGTCATGATTCCTTTTTTTCTAAAATTTGCAGACCTGTGTTCATATTTTTGTTTTCGCTTTTTCATTCCGGATGTTTGAGGCTGAAATCCTGCTACTTTGATGCAAAAAGTTTTTATTTTCTACAGTTATTTTTCTTTTAAACACTTAAAGCTAAATATTTAAAATAATTTTTTTATTTAAACTCAAGGTTTAAAGTATGCCGATATTAAATGCAACAACTCATCCTTTTTAGTACAACAATAATGGATAATTTTTGCAATGTATTTCAGAGTCCTCAGTGTGTACCGCTGCTGTCTGTGCTGGCTCCGGGGCCTCAGTGCTGAGTGGCGTTAAGGCCGACCTCTTCATTACAGGTAAATCTGAAAAACCTGACTGTGTTTTGGAACCTCTGGTAAATATGTGCAAAACAGGTTTTGAAATAGAAGGTTTTATTTAGGTAGAAGTACCTGACTCCTTAAAGTATATATTAAAGTCTATTCTTTGGTTGAGGCCCTTTGATTAAGGCGAGTTGGTAGTCGGAATAAAAAAAAAAACAACTATATTTTTACTATTTATTCCTATAAGAATAAATACCTCAACCCTTTAATATTGTTTTGTATCCTGGGAGACACATACATTTAACAGGCTGAGGGGAAAAGTCAGATTAACCATCTGCACTTTACATTAAATCTAAAACATTCATTAATAAGACAAAATGGATATCTGCTTAAACAGTGACATGCATTAGGTTAGAGTTGCCATTTTTGATGTTCAAAATTATATATATTCGATTATTAAGTTTCCTAAAATACTTATTTTAAGAATGATCAAATAAATATTTGTCAAAAAATATAAATTACATTAAAACACCTCAGATAATAAGGCATCCTCCTGTATCCTGGAGGTTGTGTTGCCCAGTTGGGGGGTATTAACACCCCCAATTACTACTTGATTTCCTGATGATGCCCCTCTACCGGATCAGAAAACCCACCAACATCATAAAGCATCCAAAGGGTCGAAGCAGGACGTGCCAGAAACATTATACGTCAATCATGTGCCAGAAGTGAGGCTTTGTTTTGTTACGGGCCAAAATAATCACAACTATTTTCCTCAGTGTTCAATGCCACCAGAAGCTAAGCTAGGCCTCTGCACGATGGAGATGTTAGTAAGTGATTAATGCAATGATGTAAGTTTAAACATGTTTAGCATCCAAAATTAATTTCTGTTTTCTTTTTTCTTTTTTATTATCAAATTTGTTGACATACTGTCAGTTTTTTTTTACATTTGGAAATGCAAAATACAGCATGGCTGAAGTATTTAGGTGTTTTACTATTTGATTCATAAAATATTATAAATATTACCCCAAAAATGGGAAATGTATCCTGGGGGAGACAAACATAGATTGAAAAAATAAATCTGTCAGAAAATGGTAATAAAAATATCCACATATGTTTTTATGTGCCCGCCCATTTAAGGGTTAAGTTAAAAGCATCAAAATCATAACAGTGGAAGTAGTTATAATAGTAAATGACTTCACATATTTTACAAGAAATTTTACATCAACCTGAAAACAAGTACCTATAAGTCCCCAAAATGTAGCATTTTCCTGGAAAATTGTCCAAACCAGGTAACAAAGACGAGGCCCCACACACATCTTTTCACAAAAAATATTATTTTTAATGGTGGACGCGATTGACATTTTTTATCTAATTAATTACAGTGTTTGCAATTAATTAATTTTAATTAATCACATTTAACCATATCGACAAAATCGACCAACTTTTCAATTGAAAAAACTTTTTTGCTCCTCAATTATTGAATAAACAATCATATGAGCACAGCAACGTATATATTTATTGTATTTAATTTGTTATTTAGGTTATTTAACCATCAGATTGGTTGAAAGTTATTATCTTTTAGCTTTATTTAGAAACCACTGATATTTTAAGCAACTTATTTGAAAAACTTATTCTGTAGAAGTTTGAACAGTCCATGAACATTAATTAAAGCACATTTCCTTTCACTAAATAAGGTTTAAAAAAAAAAATTAAATATATAGATATATATATATATATATATCTATATATTTATTTATTTAATTTAATTCTCACTCTGTGAGAGTTCAGCTCTGCATCAAGAATAGCTTAACAATTGCTATTTACTAATCAGCACTTAGTGCAAATAAAGCAATTACCAGCGAGGCTACTGCTACTAGCACAAATCATTCATGTTCCTGTTCCTAGCTCCTTCCTAACTGCCAGCACTATTCAGATAGCACTTATTAGTTACTTGTAGGACCGATACCAATAACCACTGGTTAATCCAGATTTTAGTGCCGATGCATCTTGGGTCCTCCTTTGGATCCCCTAGTCTCCATAGCAACCAATTATTTCAAAGCTTTTAACACATCTTTACCACCTGTGCTCTATGTTCAGTTAGCTTGATAAGTTCATGTTTGCGGTTTAAAGAAAAAAACTCCAATCTTCCAGGTGAGATGTCCCACCATGAGGTGTTGGATGCGGTGGCGAAGGGAACCAGCGTCATCCTGAGCGATCACAGCAACAGCGAGCGCGGTTTCCTTGCCGTGTTCAAGGAGCGGCTCGCCGTGCGTCTTCCTGACGCGGTAAAGGTGGTGCTGTCCAAGGCAGACAGGGACCCGCTGGAGGTCGTCTGACGGATCTGTCCTCATGATTGCAGGAAACTTTCAGAATATATTCATATATATCCAGATGTGAAGTCATCCACTGGTTTTAAAATGGCTGCTTAATTTTGAAGTAAAAACAGGCTGTGATGCAAAATGCTCTCTTGTTGTTATTTACAAGCACATCTGGCAGAACCTTAATGCAAATGGATCCTGGTTGATCAAAGTGGATTTTTTAAGCATTAGATAAGACAAAAAAATTGTCATCTTGCAAAGAGGAGCTGAAAATATAGGATGTAATCTGTAATCAAAATGGATGCAGTATGTAGAAGCAGTGGGTCTATTCATGGATGACACATAGGGAGATTTAATCCCATAACCAGTGGCTTCAGCCTTTGTGTGTGTATGGTGGAAAAATGTCTGGATCGACAAATTTTCCCTAAGAGGAAGTAATTATATGGAGCATAGGACAAAAAATAATCCTGATCAGATTAAGAGGCTTGTTCAGTCACAAAGTCAGGAATCAGAAATCTCATTTCTGCATGTGAGGGGCTCAATCAGCCGGAAGTCAGCAGCGCTGCAAATCATCTCTGGAGATTTAAAGCCAAATAATAACAAACAGTGGACTGTTATGTGTCATAAATTCCTTAAAGATCGACCTCTAGACCTTGGAGAGCAAACATAGGTGGACATCAAACCATTTAACACTTACATGTTAAGGTGTTGGGCTCTTAATCCTAAACGTGGCCCTGATGTCTCCAGCTGCCCTCATTCATGATGAAATTGAAAGCAAAACAAACCTAACAATCCTCATCAGTGCTTTCTGCTGACGACGCACCTGTCTGTTCGTAAAAACATTAAGAGACGTCACACACCTCGCTGCTCCCATCAAGGTAAAACAGCCTCAGTCCCAGCATGGTGTTCGCACCTCCGCTTCCCCTCGGCCAACGCTTACTTTCATCCCCAATGGGAAACACAAATGGTGGAGGAAAACAACAACTACAACAACACGTAGTGCTCGTTCGTGTAAACCGACTCCAGCTGTCGCTCTTTTATTTCAGCAGAGGAGGCTGGAAGCAGGCTGGTATGGGGCCTAGTTTGTTTGTTTTTTTCCCCTGCTAAGCAGAAAACAGTTTTCTCTTTGAACATGGAGCCATAGAAATTTTCTAGAGTTTATTCTACTTCAAAAAAAAAAAAAAATCTAAGTTTAGATATCAGGATAAGAAAATTAGACCAAAATCTTCTAAAGTTGAGCTGACTAACTCAGTGTCCCTTGCCTCATCAAACAGTGCTGGTTTGACTGGGATGAAGTGAGAGAACACACACATACACGAAGAGAACATGTAAACTTAATGCAGATGAGAAATTAAACTTAAGACTTTTCTACTGAAAGTCATTTATGCTAACAATGTCCCCATTCTTGCAAAAGTATATATAAAAATATTTTTCAAACTTTTTTTTTTATCCTAGACCAAAACTTTTTTCTGTTTTGATTTTATGGCAAAGACACAAAATCACTGGTGGTTCTAATCAAATTCAACGGGATGGCCTGTTTTAAAAAAAAAAATCTATTTTCTAATGGGGGGCACAGAAAAAAAAAGAATGAAATAATAATCAGGCCAATAGTTCCATCATTTACTGTATTTAGACCACAGAACCAAAGAGCCATTTGCGGCTCTGAACTGATAGAGGTGAAATTTAAAATAATTATTTTAAATTAATCTTGTTCTGATTAAAAGTTGTATTTTTGGTTTAAAAGATATTACTTTACCTAATTTTAAAAATCCATCACCATGCAAAAATAAAGAGATTTCAAGTAAAAAAGTGCTGCATGAGCAATGATGTCATTGTCTTTCCTTGGACCTCATTGGCTGAACACGTCATGATGGTTGTGGCCAGTGATGCAGCACCATCAGCAAAGATGCCAAAAATAATGGATTCTACTTAATACTTAAGAAGCTTACTGAATATAAAATTTCTCAGAAAGCAAATTAACAAATGTGTGGAAAGATAATTACAGATTTGTTATGCATTACTACAAATGTAAAAACTAAAGCAATATCTCTCTATTGCCTCTAAGGTTGATATATCAGTTGGACAAAAGTGAAATTATTACGTTTAACAAAAGTACATTTTTTTTTAATCTTGAGAATAAATATTAAAGATAAAGATATTCGTTGGAAAAATATTTTAATATAGATTCACGATTTAGGAATAAACCATATCTTTTACTTTTTTAATTGAAAATGATCAGCTGTAACCAATTTAGAATTAGAACTTGATTGAAACTGACAAAGATCATAGGCTACGTTCACACCGCAGCCTGAAGTGACCCAAATCCGATTTTTTTTTTTTGCCCATATGCGATCTGGATCTGATCTTTTCTGGGCTGTCTGAACAACACAGTTCCGATTTTTTCCAATGCGACCCAGGCCACTTGGCTCTGTGGTCCTGAATCCGATACGAATTTGATCTTTTCAAATGCGACCTGTGTGTGAACGGCCAGGGCCGATTCATCCGACCTGAACGTCATTAATACCCGACAAAGGTCACTATTCTGTGTCTTGCTACGCAGAAGCGGCAAGAAAAACAACAACCATGGCAGATGATGATGCGGAGAGCAGTATTTATGTTTAATCATATTGAAAAGATTGTGTTTTTATGGTTGGAAAAGACCGCTAGATGCACTCCAGCACTACCATCCTGTTTACAGGTACGTCCGGAAAAAAAAGAGCATTGCTTGTGACGTCATCGCGTTCTCTACTGCGCATGCTGGACACTTGTGTTGTATGACTGCAGTTCACACAGGAGATCAGATACAAGTTGCATATATTTGGAAAATATGAACGGGAACAAAAAAAAAATCGGAATTGAGCATCAAGGCCTGCAGTGTGAACGCAGCCATAGTTAAAAAAGAATTGTAAGGATGGAAAAAAATTTGTTGCAGGGGACCGATAAGTTACAGGGCCAACACCAGTCCAATAGGGGCCCCTGTTTGTCCCTGTCTAGGACCGGCTGTGTTCAGCAGCCTTTACAGTCTAGAGAGACAAATTTGCATTTCATTGATTTAGATCAAATTTGTCTAAAGCCAACGATGCTTTATGACCCTCAGAAAAAGATAGACAACAGTGTTTTATAGTTAAAGAACAATATTTTCTAGTTTTAGGTTCAGAGGGAAAAAGTAACATCAAACATTGACAGAAAGTAAAAATAATGTATTTTTTTTCCTAAATTTGTTGAATGGGAAAAAAATGTGTTAAATAAGTGGAGTAAAAAATGAATACAAAAACCGGTTTGCAACATAATAGTCTTCCTGCTGCAGGTATGATTTGAAAATACTGAATTAAAATGCACATTAGTATAGGCAAAGCTAGTCTTTTCTTCATTATTACTGTTATTTTTAAATAAACTGCTAAGTTTACATAAACTCTACATAATGCAAAGGACAATTATGCATGCTCCCCTCATTTTTATGGGAGGGTGAGGACAAGAAATTAAAATCCATGTGAAAGAAAGCAGAAACGCTTTTAAATGTTTTTGGTCTGCTTTCAATAAAAAAATGATTTACCGGTATTTGTTTTTTTGAACCTAAAGGTTAATTAAGTAATTTCCATGGAACCTGCAACACCTAGCAAAAAATTACAAACATGGTATGGGGAGCATTATGCTTTAGCCTTCATTCAGCTGCAAAGGTATAAATATGGATCTATTTAACAATGTGAATCACACATTTACTTTCAGGAGAACAATTTCAGAAAAGTGTAATTTTATTTCTATTTAAAAGTTTTATTCAATCTTTGGTTAACATAAGAAAATGTAGATTTCAAGAGGAAAAAAATACTTTTGCAAGGCATTATTTACTTTTTTTTTTACTGTGTAAATGAAACAAATATGTTCCTATATAATGTAATTTATGCATTATAGATACCCTGTCAAGAATAACAAAACAAACAAAAATAAAACAGCTGTTGAAACATAATTAGGAGCAATCAGCTTCCCACACACAGAGAGTCCTAAAGGAGGACAGACAGGAAGGGGTCTCTGCTGTTAAAAGCTGCTCAGTCATATCAATTAGGTGAAATTTGGAGAAGAGAATAAAATGGTTGTGAGTTATCCCACTGTTCTGCTTTGGAAATCATAAAAGTAATTGTAATAGGATCAAGTATCCCCACATTGGTAAGTCTTTTCTGAAAAGTACCACAGAATGAATTAGTTTTCTTTTTACATTAACAAGAGGGAAACAATAAAGCACATTCTGCATTTATAGCTCTGATGTAATCAGTAAAATGGGTTTTCAATTAGTTGCCAATTGTTGTATTATTAATATATAAGAGATGCACCTGAACTCAGACATGTATAAAAACCTGCAGACACCGGTGTGTCTAATGACCAAATTGCAGCCATCAGCCAAACTGTGATCCTCTTCCACCTGCATCCAGAGCCTGAACCCCTGCAGAGGGAGTTTAACAGGCTTGCTGCAGGGAGGAAGAGACGTGTCATCAAGTCGTCAACAAGCTACAGGGGGGCTGCCATTACTCTAAACACATTTATGTGCATGTAAACAGTGCTTTACATGTGTGATGAATTAGGAAAATGTACAAAACTTTTCTTTGCAACACACTTCTTTAACTCTGAAAAAAAAATTATGTTTACTTTATATACAGCTTAGTAGGTACGTAATGGTCTCACATTAATTTTAAAGGGAAAAAAAGCTCTATAAATCAACATTGCTTTTCCTTTTGGTCCATCCTTTAACTGCAGAATTGTTTTAGCTCTGCCACTTTTGTTTTCTTAGGCATGTTTCAGGTTATACAAAAGCATTTCAATAATGTTTTATTCCAGACAAGGGAATAAATAATTTTCACTTTCAAGTAATTTGCAGAGACTTTTCCAGCTGCTGAGCAACTCGACGATACTCAAGCTTAAGGCGACTACCTGCTGGCCCTAAAGATATGAGAGCGGAATTCATAGTTCTATTAATTGCAGCAGGTTCTCTTAGTTCTGATGCAGCAAAGCAATCCCAGGCCATCACACTTCCACCACTGTGCTTTACTGTTAGTGGAATCTTGTAATTTTGATTTCAAGATGTTTGGTTAATTTTACATCGGATATAAATACTAATAAAGGTTCCACTTTTATTCCCCCAGATGTTTATTTTTCAGTAGACATGTTTCTTTTTGGTTGTCTCTCTTTCTCATTGCTGAACCATGGACCTCTGGCCTTAAATGAGGCAAGTGAGGCCTTCAGTGTTTTAGATGTTCTGTGTTTTAATCTAATGGATGAACTGATTTTTGGTACAGTAGGTCAGCAACTGTTGCTGTTTGGGAAAGTTTAGCATTCTTTTGTTTCTCAATTTGTTGAGAATCATTCTCTGTTTGAGTCAAAAAGGCTTTGGGAATGGTTTGATAAATGATAGATTATTCCATTGATCCATTCCTTGATTAATGAAGTTCAGGGAATGGCTTCTTTTTGAGTACTTCATATTGTCAGACATAAAGCTAATGACTTCAAAAGTCAGAGGGAAGATTGCAATAAGAGTTAATTTAAAAACGATATATATATATATATATTAAAAAAAAGAATAAATAGGAAATCAGTGGGGGGAAATCATTTCTGTAACCAGCACTAAATGACTGACAGGAATTTACACGCTATCTCAGAATTAAGACATTTTCCTGCATTTTGATTGGTTGGGAGATGTGGAGGAAGGTACTCGTTCAGGGATCCATTCCTGCATTAACTTCCATTGCCTGTGCTGATGGGGTTGTGTATAAACTTCTTACTAAAATGGTTAGTGTGAACATGAGAACTTTGCATCTCTTTCATTTATCAGCCTTATTGTATTTGACTAAAAAAAAAAAAACAGTCACAGTTTATTCTAAAATTCAAATAACATCCATCCATCATCTGCAGCTGCCTATTCTCCAGCTGTTGTCTATCTGTAGCAGTCTTAGTGTGAAAGGTGGAGTAAAACTTGGACAGGTTTCCAGGTTATCACAGAAAAAAAAACAGCAACTTTTTCATATCTAAGGGAAATTGAAAGAGAATACTTAACCTTACAGAAAGACCCCCTGACCAGGATTTGAAGCCTTTTTGCTGCAAGGTGAGGGAGCTTCACCATCCAGCTCTCCTGAAGCAAAACAACAGCTCCAAAATACATCGACTCTGATGTGATTACAATCAAGAAAAATACTTTTAAAACCAGGTAGATCATGTTAGATTGTGCATGTAAATCCATAATTTATAGACTTGGGAGAAAAAAAGCAACTTTAAAAACATGTATGAAAATCTATAGACAAAATAAAATTCCCTATAAGCAGGTTAAAGTTACACGCATAATATAAAAAAAAAATCAACTACATCTAAGTTTGATCAAGCGCAGCTGTAAGAAAAATGTTTTTATTTTTACAAAGCTTTCAAAAATCCTTTTGAATATACTGAAATAAACAAGTAAACATACTACAATCTCCTGTAAGTTTGTAAAAATGTGAAAATCAAGAGCCTCCGTGCCAGAGTGACTGTGAAGTTATACCTTTTATACAAAGAAGCTTTTGTTTGATAACTAAACACTTAAGAAAACCCAGATTGTATCAGTGAGGTCAATGAAGATGGGAATTTTTAAGTTTATCCAGCAGCAGTAGAAGTAAATTACAGGGAACAGGGAGGAGAATTTGAGGAGGTAAATGAGGAGCGAAGTGAGAATAGGACCATTTGGCCAGAGGTGTGAAGTCCCACACACCTATTTAAGAGAGCCGACTGGGGCCGAGGACTCCGACAGCAAAGAACTGCGACAGAAACACAGACCGAAGAAGAATCCCTAACAGAAGAGCAACTTTTGATCTTTGACCAGGGGAAGAAATAAATGTGGATTTGCATCAGATAAGGAGGACAGAATACAAAAAAGGACAAGGAGGATGCTGAATGTGGAGATGTACCCTGGTTTGACTGTGGGACCAAAAAGGATGGGAGATTGCTTTTACAGAGGTGAGAGGCCCTCATGCATTTAAAAGCTATTCAAAATGGGTAACTGGAATCTAAAGACAGTTTTGGAGCACAAATAGATTATTTTTTTCCTGCTACATACAGACACTTTTTGCATTTCTCCAAGAAATCTTATTTTAAGAAATTATATTTTCAGATAGATCAAATAACAACAGGATCTATATCTGAATAATGTGCAAAGTTAATTTTTGTGTTTGTTTTCCGGGGTATAAATATGATGGACCTTCTTCTAATATACTAGTTTGGAATTTTGTAAGACAGAAAGATGTGTGTTGATCATCTTAATTCAGAAAATGGCTCCATAAAATCCCAATATCTACAATCTAAGTAAAAAATAGGAAGAGAAGAAATAAGAACATGACAAACTCTCATTCCGTAGTATTAAACCACCTGATTGGTCCATTTCCACAGACAGAGACGCTCCTGTACGGATTCCGCTGTTTCCTCCCGCTTGTGATGTGGCTTCAAGGCTTCTGGGCCCTTCCACCGGAGAGTCCTCTTCCAAAGGCCAAAAAGATGAGGTGAAGATGGAGCTGGAGAACTCTGCATTATGGAAGCAGTTCAGCTCAGTCGGTACAGAGATGATCATCACCAAGAAGGGCAGGTCAGGCACTTCTTCACACAGCAGAGTGATGCAGAAATATTTATACATCCTGGACTCTTAAAATCACAAACTTCAATGTATTTTGTTGGGATTTACATGACAAAAATACTTGTTTTCTTACATTGTCAAACAAACTCAAGAGGTGCAATTAGACAGAGGTTTATCAGACCATGCTTAATGCTTGGAAGGTTTGTTGCACTGTTTTTTTTCTTCAGGGGGATCACAGGAAAGGGGACTGAACACACAGACACATAAGTGTTTGTTAACTGGTCCCTAAAATTTTAAAACTATATTTTTTTCATATATATTACCTAAAATCCCAACAAATATATAAAAGATTTTGGTTTTAATATAAAGTTTAGAATTTTCTACCAGATAGTTTCCAGTTAAGGTCCTGAAGGTGCCAATTATTTTCCATGTTCCTCCTCCTCCCAGACGGATGTTCCCAGGCCTGAGACTGAAACTGTCGGGTCTAAATCCATCTCTCCGCTACATCCTCCTCCTCGACATCGTCCCGGCTGATAACTCCCGCTACCGCTTCCAAGGGGGCGGCTGGCAGGCCGTGGGTGGGGCAGAGGCCAGGTTACCCGACCGGGTCTTCATCCACCCGGACTCGCCCGCCACGGGTGCACACTGGCAGAGCCGCACCATCTCCTTTCACTACGCCAAGCTCACCAATAACACACTGGACACACAGGGACATGTAAGTGCATGCAGCAGTACAGAGTACAACATTCATTAGCAGCTCCTGACATCTTAATTCAATGTTTTGTTATTTGCCTTTTAGATAATCCTGCATTCCCTGCATCGCTACCAGCCCAGGATCCATGTGATTGAAGCCAGAGATATGCTAAGGTGGGGTGGAGGACAGCACACCTTCGTTTTCCCAGAGACCCAGTTCATCACGGTCACTGCTTACCAGAACAACAAGGTATGATTTTACTTAACCCAACACAGGTATTAGAGTAAATAGGTCTGTCTCATGATATCCTAATAAATGACATTAAAGGGCGTAGTTTTAATCTAGAAAATAATAAAAAACAGCTTAAGAGGTGTCAATGTTTCGGAAAGGACTGTGCAATGAGACATAGAAGTTAAAATTAATGATCAGTGTTTGCTGTTTGTTTTGTTTTTAGATCACTGAGCTGAAGATAAATTCCAACCCCTTTGCTAAAGGATTTCGAGAGGATGGGATGAACAGCAAAAAGTAACTAACAACTCAACGATGTTTTAAAATAAACTTTTTTTCTTTTCTTTTTTTTTTTTTTTTAGCTTTTCTAAATTTGTTTTTCTTCTGCAGACAAAGAGACGCCAGGCAGAAACGTAAAATAGCCACCCTGACTGAAACTTTGGATATTGGTGCGAGAAATTACAGCAAATTACAGTTTGGATTTAGTTCTTTATATGGTATAAATATGAGTGATCTTATGCATGTTCCCTTTTCTCCTTCAGTAAACAGTGATCCATGCGAAGCCTCCGAGCCCCCAGCCACCAGCTCAGACCTCCAGGGTCTCACCCTCGCCTCTCTCCCTCCACTCCCCGACTCTTCCTGTGAGTTCAGACCTGAGGAGGCCTCCTATCCAGTCCCAGAGCACTCCCTAGACCTCAGTCAGACGTTCATGACCTCCCAGATGTCCGACATCAGCACCACAATGGCTGCCGGGATGCAGGGAACACAGGAAAACGAAGCGGCACGCAACATCATTGAAGGGTGAGGAATTACACTGATCTAAGAATGCTGCTGTTTGCAGTTTTTTTGCATATGGAACAAAATCTACAAGTGTGAATGTATTGAGGTATTTGGAGTGACACATTTTAAGAATATTTTAAAGCTCCATTAGGCAAACAAAGAAAGCTACTTGTTACCTGAGGAAGATTTACTGACCTTTATATTGAAATCTAAAAAAAAGGAAATCTGAAGAAACCTTCCTGCTCTTTTAATATGTTCTTTTCCACCTCACCACCTGCAACATGAATTTATATATTTTAATGGGCTTAAAATGTATTTTTTTTTCTTTTAAGTTTGGTACTAAAAACGATCCAGTGAAAATGTTTAAAAAGTATGTTTCATGTTGACTCTATCCTTTCTGAAGAACACAAACTTATCCAATATTTTTCTCATCTGGGCACCAATAACTTTAAATATCACCTCATAGTTTCTACACCAGTGGAATTTGAGGTATGAAATCATATGATTTTTCAAATAAACATGTTCTTTAAATTGAGGTTTTACCAAAATGCTTTAGGCAGTGAATATCATACCTACAACTGAAATATAAAAAAAACCTCATAGAGATTTAGGTGATTGCTATAAAATTAACTTTTACACCTGCATAATGTTTTAATTAGTTTATTATTATTATTATTATTATTATATTGTTTTTTCCACACGGAGTAAGAAATTAAGCTATGAGGTAAAAAAACTCAGATTCTTTGTTTTATATCTAATTCGCACAAGAAGATCATTAGAGGCGCATCACATCCAATCAAAACTTTCTATTGAAACAATCTGAATTATCTTTGTAATCAACTACTTACTGCAAACATGATGACAAAGTAAATGTTCGCCAAAAAGATCTGTTTTTGAATTTAAAGTTAATTTGATCATATTGAATTTCTGTCATTTATTACTCAGCTTTTAGGATGACATGCTGCATTTTTCCCTGACTTCTTGCCAAACACCAAAATAATCATTTAGTGAGCTTCATGTGTAATGTTACTCGTTTGTTAGTATTCTGTGAATAACCATAAAGCAGGTGGTTAATGTTTGAATCCTGTTTGGGTTTTTAAACTTACTCATTCTTTTCATTTGAGCCAATCAGGTTGCAGTGTGCATCAGGCCTCTTTTTGTAACCTAAATCCTGGATTTCTACTCAATACTTCAATCCCTTACATCAAAAACCTGCCATTTTTTAAAACTGAGTTTAATAAAAAAATTGTCAGGGATAGGAAAAGCAGTTCTCAAAATCTTGGATAAATTAGAAAATACTCAAACTAAATAGTTTAGTTAAGTTAAATGGTAAAAAAAAATATTTTCAACTAATTTTCATGATAATGCTCAACAAAGTGATCATTTAAAAGCCATGATGGAAAAAGTCATGGTACTTTCTTAAAAGAAATTATGAACAAATAAGATGACATTATGACGACGATATATTACAGCTTTTTCTGTAATCATTCTCTGGATAAAAAAACAAAACAAAAAAAACCCTGCAGTCTGAGTCAAACATTTTGTTTTCCCTTCCACAGCTCAGATGTTTTGGCTGAAACAACCTATGAGCCCAACTTCTCAGGTCCTCCGTCCTCCTCTTTCTCCTCCAGCACAGCCCATCCTCAGCCATCCTTCCCACCTGTGGACTACTCCTCCCCCATGCTTCCTGCCACCCCTTCACTGCAGCAGACCTCCTTTAACTTCCCCACGCCACCACCCTCGGACTCCTCCTCCCCCTCTTCCAGCACCTTCCACACGGCCCCTGGGATGGTCAGCCCCCACACTCCAGCTGCCTTTGGAGCTCCGTCGAATATGTGTGCATCAAACCTGCAGGACCAAACATCTCCTCACTCTCAGATGCAGGGGGGACCTGATACGGATGGAAGTAAGGGGACTATGGTTCAGAGCTCAGCAGTGTTTCCCTATTCAAATGTCCCTCCTATAGATGCGGATCCTGAATACCAGTCTTTAGCTCCCACCCTGCCCTGTTCCCTCCCTGCTAATGGAACCTGCAACTCTTTCGCTTTGCCCTCTTTTCCCCAACAAATGCAGGCTCTCTCATTTCCAAGTATAGCCCCCAGCCCTGCTCTGAACTTCTCCAATCTGACCCACCAAGCTGCAGCCCCCTCCCTACCTGCTGCCTTCCCTCCTCCTTCCTCTTTCCCCCGCTCATCATCCTCCCTCCCTCACCATTCTTTCCCGGCCTCCTCCTGCCTGGCTGTCTCCTCCTCGTTCCAGCAGAACCAACCCCATCCCACATCTTCCTCCTACACCTGCTCATATCCTCCAACTGGGGTCAGCGCCATCCCTCAGTTCACACCTCCTCCCCCTTATCGGCCAGATATGGTACTTCACCATAAGGCTCTTCTTCCTCAGTTGGATCCAGCCCTGCCCTCCTCCACCCCTCCACCAGCTCTCTACCCCACCTTCCCATCATATCCTCTCCATTTGCATCGGGATCCTCACTCCTCCCTCACCGCACCCTTCAGGCACCTTTACAGACAGCACCAGCAGAGCCACCCTCACTCCCAGGGGTCCTACATCGGTGCAAGATCAGTGTATTAAAACAAATGTTAAAATATTTGGTTTCAAGGCGCTTTAAGGGAAATTAGCAATGCTTAGAAGCAGGAGTAAATGTTTTATCAATGTTTTAGCTATTCAGCTAATGGATTTGGTGATAATATTGATTTGTAAATAATTTTGAGATTTATGTTTAAATATTCATTGCAGCATGAGAAATAAAAGTCTCAGACTAAAGGAGTTTTGCACTTTTTTGTTCCTTTCTCCTAAAATATGATGTAAAACCTTATATTAAAGCCTTTTAAATATCCGTATTTTTATTAGCGCCAAAGAATTACCCTCTGATAATGAATAGTTCAGAGGTTTTCGCTGTGGTTGGGTCCAATTCAGGCAACATATTAGCTTCTGCAATATTGCTTAAATGTGCATGTGCTTTCATGTGTTATCTTTACAGAAGTACTCAGGGTTTACATTTAGACCTGTTTACAGAATCACAGACTTCAAAAAAGTATTTCCAAGTATATCCATGTTTTGAGATATGTTATTTTGTAACAAAATGACTGCTTGATGGCTGTAAAAGTCACAAAAGAACTGAAATTTAAACCTTGATCTTTCAAAGGTGCTGGATAAATGTGTTAGAACAGAAATTGGAATTTAACAGCATTTAAACTGATAAAGACGTGGAGACTCAAGAGCAATGGAAGAAGATCAAAGTCATTTATTAATAATCATTTTAATAGTAAAATTGATGACATGTGGGTTGTGGTGATAAATGAATGGGACACTGTTATGTCTGAATCATTTTGGAAAATAATTTATTCACCCTTTATAAACTGCTATCTCATTTGACTGGAAAAGAAACAGATTAAAATAAAAGACATAGAAGAGGATGGAATAAAAAGAAGTATTTTTTAACCATTTAACAACTACTTTAGTTATATGTTTTAAATCAAGCCATATCCTTAAATCTTAATTCAGTTCAGTTAAAAAAATATTTTATTATTCCCTAAAGGAAATTATACATTAGTATTTATATATACATTTATATTAAATATTATTAGGCAGGTAATTATCAGTTCAAATACTTATTTATGGACTGAGGTGGGGCAATATCAGGAACTCAACCATAAATAAACGAAAAATCTTTGCAAAATGTGGTCAAATAGCTGAATAATAATTTAATAAAAATCAAAAGCATGTTAAAGATAAGATAAATGGGAACAGGGAAGAGGCATAGATGCACCGACTGACGTAATTGGGAAAGAATACAGCAATTTTTTTATATTTTTCAAAATAAAACATCACTCAGACTCTGATCGTCGATAAATTATATGTATATATATATATATACTTTTTTCTGTGTGGCCCGGTACCGAAAAGACCCACGGACCGGTGGTTGGGGACCGCTGCTCTATACCACTCCCAGCTGGAAATCCGTTCCAGGTTTTTTAACCTTCGCCCAAGTGACCTCCTGTAAATTAGCATTGCTGTCCTCTCTGTAGTAATATTCACAGATGTCAAGTAACTAAGTATTAATACTTTGTTACAGTACCTAAAAAGTTTTTTTTTTCAGTATCTGTATTTTACTAAGGAATTTATTTTTCTGAGGACTTTTCACTTTAACTCTACATTTGAAAATACATATCAGCACTTTCTACTGCTAACTTTCTCAAAACTGACTTGTTGTTTCTAGAGATATTAAAGATACAACATAACAGCTGCAAAAACAATAACTAAATAACAATAAAAAAAAAACAGAGGGAAAATAAAGAATGGGCAGGTAATCTGTCCAGTTAGAGCAAAGTTTGTATACAGAAAAACACTGATAGTGACATATGGATGAAGACAAGGGACTGGGAAACATAACAGGTGATGGATCTGATTCTGATATTACCAGTTTATCCCCCCATTTTTTAATTTAAAATGAACATGTTGATTATGTCTCAAAGTATATTTCAACTTTAATGCTATTTTACAACCTAAATTCATTGAATTAAGAACTAAACTAATTTAGCTGCATATGCAGGACTTTAGTTCAATCTATATTATTGAGTGGTGGCCTAGTGGTTAGGACATAGAGCTTGGAATCCTGAGGCTCTGAGTTCGAGCTCCACTCCCACAGACTGCCACTCTGGCTCCCTGAGCAAAGACCCTTAAACCCACACTACTTGCCAAGCACCACACAATGGCAGCCCACTGCTCCCCATGGGGATGGTTTAAATGCAGAGAGTTCATTTTGTTGCTCTGTACTTGTGACAGTGTGATGACAATAAAAACAATGGAAAAAAAGAAAATGAGACTGTCTCAAATTGACATTTAAAACACATTAAACTAAATAAGTGGGTTTTTTTTAATAATCTCAACCATCAGAGTGAAAAAAAAAGAAAAAATAACCCATTCTTTGTGGACCAGACTGTTTTATATGAATGGTGTTTTTAAAAGTTACTTTGGATGAATTAAGGCAAAAGCTTAATTTTACTGAAGTTTTATATTGATAGATACAAAAAGAGAAATAGAGAAGAGTAGCTTACTTCATTTTATTTTTGTACTTAAGTACAATGTAGAACCTATACTTTTGTACTTTTACTTAAGTAAAGGTACTTTTATTTATAACAGAGTCTTTTACGTAGGTAAAAAGTAAAAAAAAAAAGTAAAAAATGTGAGTACTTTGGACGCCGATTATGAAACAGAAAACAGCACAAGTAAAAAATTTAAATAAAAAAAAGAAGAATTTTGATAGACTGACCTGAGAGGGGCTTAAAATTAAAAAATGACATTTTACTGTGGTTATTATGTGAAGAATAGAACAAAGCAAATATTCTAAGTAAACAGAACAAACATGTATATTTATGTAGATGTCCACCATACAACAGTTAAACTATAACTTTAAAACCTGTGTTCAGTGAAATCGTGGCTTTATGGAGACTAGAGATCTCTTAACCAACCACCAATCCTACTTGACTCAACCCTTCTAGGAAAATATGACCTCATTTGAAAGGTACATTTAGGAACATATATTTGATGCGGTGACCCTGTATTGTGTGCTGTTTTTATTATAATCTCCTCTTTGTATTTTTAATCTGCATTTAACATTGTTTTTTTTTATTTTATTTTGAATCTTAATAGACTTTTCCACTTTTTCCACAAATTTAAAGTGCCTTAGAAAAATAAATGTATTATTGATACCGTTATTATGAAGGCTTCCAACTGAAATGATCTGCTAATGAAGCTCACGCCTCATTTTTTATTTAAGCATTGCTGAAGTCCCTGATTCATTGGACATGTGATCAAGCCTTTAAAATAATTGATTGATGTCACCCTCAGGTTTTAGCGCACTGGTTGGAGAGCCATATAATGCAAGTCAAAACCCCCATCAATGGGCTACACACTGAAATAATAATTCTAAGTGTAGTTTAAAATAAAATTCATTCATTTTACAAAAGTAAAGCAAAGAAACAAATACATAAAAGTTAGAATAAACTTGTCTCAGAAGTTGATCTTTATATAAACTTTATATTATGCTATATTGTTCTCAGTCAAATTTAAAGGAATATATCTTATTAAATGCAAGTTCTTCAAACAGTTCGATTGGGATGTAATGTCATTAACATATTTTCAGTGACTCAAGACCAAACCCTGTTGATTTTGATTAAATAAAATCAATTTAATCTGGAAAGAGTTGCGCCAATCTACTTTAACTCAATTATTTTCTCAAGTTAATCCTTATTTTCTGTTTCAAGTGTTCCTTTCTGAGAAATCAAACTGTCTATTTTTGCACAGTATATTTTTGGTGGTCAAAAAGTTAATAATAAAACTAAACGTTTGAGAAGACTTCAGAGGGGAAACACCTGGCTGCATATGAACACATCACCGTAAGCAACAGCCACAGGCTCTCCAGGGTCAACTTGTTTGTCGTGTTGCTTTCCTGCAGCTCAGACTGTGCAAATCTTTGAGGTGAAGAATAAACAGACGTAGCAGAAACAAACCAGAAAGGTCTGGCTCAGCTGCACATGATGTGTCCCACAGTCCTAAATTGATCCCAACTCACCTATAAAAACTGTCAGGTTGGGCAATATTTCCAGCTTTGCTTATTTTACAAGGAAAAATAAAACATTTCAGGTCAAATATTCATCTTTACTATAGGATTTACATCACAGCAAACATGAAATGGAAATATTCCTCTTATCTATGAGACGGGACTGGGGACATGTCCAGGGTGCACCTCCCCCCAACCCCGCCTAGACAGCTGGATAGGCCCCAGCACCCCTCGCAACCCCAGCAGGGATAAGTGTGACAGAAAATGGATGAATGTATGAGATATGAGATGAGTAGTTCTGAGAAAGAGAATAAATGTCTTCAGCAAAGATCACTAACATACACATATCTTCAGGAAAAGGTCAAAAATTTATGTACAAATCTATCACACACCCCCACCCATCATACCTGATACACCATTTCCCAAAGCTGTTTTTTTTATTCCCTGTTAATGGTAAAATAATAAAGTCCAGGTTTAAATAGTCCATACATCTTGATGATTTAAACGTTTTTGTTTTTTATATAGAGAATAAAATAAAGTTATGTTACTGAATATCAAACAATATAAATCTCTGATGGATCAATTTCAGGATTAACCACTTGAAATATTGTATAATAAGAATAAGAGAGGATCAAATAGTTGGATTTCTATAAATCAGGAAACGACCATTTTAGAAAAGCCAATCCGGGCAAAACCCACTGATCTCTATTTATCCACTGGATTGCTGAATGCCCGTTGGTAGTACGGGGTTGAAATGAAGCCACCGGCCACCATTTTGGTACTCCCTAGTTAGACCGGTCGCAATGTAAACAATACGTGCGCTACAGCATCGAACAAAGATTATGTCCTCATTTTCAAGGGGGACTTAAGACTTTTAAAATAAAGATAAATTTGTCACTTTGACACACACTGGCTGTTTCATAGCATAATTAGATTACTTTAACTTATAATAAAAAAATAGGCACATCACATTACATAGTCATTATGAAGTCAACATATTATACAAATCTATCACAACAAAATGAATGTAGCATAATAATACTGAAGTGCCAAAAGTGCTAAATTGATGATGTACATGTAATATACATGTATTGACTTTATTGTTCTTATAACATATTCCATATAATTTCAAAATTTTACATCAAGTCTAAATTACAAGCACTTGTCTGTTAATGCTATAGTATTTTCCTATTTGCAAATTGTGCATCAATGATGCACATACTTTTATTCTGTGTCTTTGCATTGTATATACTAATTAAACATTAAACATTTACTTTAAAAAAAATCAGACTTTTAAAGCCCTTTTATAAAATGTGAAATGAAGGATTCATTCGTATGTTTTTTTTATGTTAAGCAATAAACAGTTACCTACTGTATTAGCATTCATTTAAAGCTACCATTTTATTACACGGCTTTTATAATCTCCAGGTGTAGAACATTTCTGAGGCTTAAACACTGGAATATATTAACACATGCTTCATATTTATGCACAACCCTTGTTGGTGGATTCCAAACTGAGGGAAGCTCTACGAGGCGATGCTAAGGGTCAGCCTGATGTTTACTCAACTTTCCCAACAGTCACTTATTAACCCATAAGTCCTGCATTCGGACCCTCAAACAGCAGCTACCTTTTTTCATCACTGAGGCGCTCTGAGTGGCATTTAAGGAACGGAGGGTAAAACTTTTTTTTATTTGTCTGGTTAGTGTTTGTTTTATTTTTCATTTTCCTTGCACTTGCAGTTTTGTATTTTAATGTAGATTATTAGGATACTTTTTCTCAGCAGTCAGTTAGTCAGAGCTAAATCTTTGCTGAAATATTGTAATTAAATAGCTGCTAAAAAAGAAAAGAAAACAAATTGATGTTTTTTTTAATGTCGTTTATCTCTCTCATGTTGATTTTGTCATCAGGTCTTTAAAATGTCAGTAAATTGTTTACTCTATGATCACATCTGCAGATGCTTTTGTTTTTTTCCTATAGGTTGTCAGCTTTAGAGGAAAAAAAGCTCTTTGATACTGAGGATTGCTATTACTAACACTGCCAATGCTAATTTACACGCTCCAAAAATGTTCAACATTTCCATAACCTGTCATCTCAGCACAATCTGATCGACCTGATCCCACCTGTTCTGCCCTTGGCATGATGCTGTGCTCTAATCTCCGCCCGTCGCTCCCTCACCTCTTTTCTATGAGGCTTCTTGGTACTGCCGCCACCAGGACTGCGGCGGTCAAGCAGCCGGAGCTTCTCCCAGCAAGCCTGACCTTTGAGGATCCCAGTGCCTTCAGGGTGAAGAGCCTGGGGGAGCTTCTCCGTGCTCTTGGTGTCTTCCGTCTGTGCTCCTTCCCTGTGCTGGTCAACAACTGTGGAAAGGTGGGACCAGAATTAATCGAGCAGACTGTCTCTAATGCTCCAATGAACTGTCATAAACTCAGTCTTTACATCAGCAATAATTATGCGCCATTGCTGTTTTTCCATCTCTTCATCCCAAATTTGTCTTGTCCATTTCAGATGATGACAGGAGCACGGATCCTCCTGGGGAGGAGGGGGTTCTCTTTACTGCTGCGGCCAACTGTATACGCCCAGTTTGTGGCTGGAGAAAACGAGAAGGAGATCTCCCAGTCCATGGGGAAGATGAGCTTGCTAGGACTGAGGCCCATGTTGGCTGTTCCTATAGAAGAAGACCTTGGAGAAAGCACTGGGTAGGCATTTAATTCCTGCAGTGCTTTATAAAAGTATCTATGTGCTTCAAACCTTTCCATTTTATATTTTCTGATATTTTATTTACAATTCAATATATTCATCAGGATTTATTTACAGACCACAATTAAGTGGTGCATAGCTGCGACATGGCAAAGATGAGGATATTTTTTTCTTTTCTTATTTCCCTTTTAAGGATTTTGCCTGAACACAGCATGATGCTGCCACCACCATGTTTTTTCTAAGTAGAGTTGGTGTGTCACAGTATGCTTGTTGCACATAAAAGATCATTTTGGATTTCTTTAGACAAACACAATTTCATGTTTCTTTCACTTTATAAGCAGACAGACTTAGACTCAACTTTATTTAGCTCTTTCTTTTATCCTTCAGGGAAATTCTAGTTCCAGTAACTTATGAAATGTATGAAGGGCAGAATTAAAGCAAGATGCCATTAAATATAAAAATACAACAGACAATATAAAAAGAGTGTATATAGTAAAAAAGAGCATAAGAAAAATTGAAATATACTGGAATATGTTTCCTTTAGATATAAAAATATCTGCACAGTAAAGAGCCACACAGTAGTTGACTTGGATAATTGCACTTTCACTGCAGAGATGGACATGCATTACCATGTGCTAATTCAGTCTGGAATTGAATATTGTTGGTAGTAGCATTGTGCTTGTAAAGAAACAAAATGTGAAAAAGTACTAACAGTAATATAATGACTAAAATTCTACCTACACTTCTTTGCTTTATACATAAAATCAATAGAAAATCAATAGACCATTAATGGCTATATCATAGAAGGCCTCTCATGGGAAAAACAATGTAGGAATGGGAGGATGCAAAAAAGGAGGCATGAATATACAAGCCAGGATCAAAACTCCATCTGATTACTCCAATGATGAGCTCAGTGTAACTAAAAATAAATCCATCTGTCGACAAGAGTATGCCCTTCATATTATTCACTACAGCCAGTTGATCAGCTTGATTCTTGTTCCTCTTCTGATCTCATCAACCCTTCAAAGACACAATATATATTATTAAAAGTATTTTTTTTCAGAGGGATGAAAAATGCAATATTTTGTGAAATTCTGTAGCAGTAATCCATACTTGATTGAGTCATTTTCTATTTCTGCTCATTTAGGAATTGATTTCCACTGCCATATAAACAGTGAAGGCATAAACACTAGAGCTGAAACAATCGGATTGATCAGATTAATCGATTATTGAAATAATCGTCAACTAATTTAGTAATCGGTTAGTCGTTAGGTGGAGCCTTTAGCTGAAAGAGCAACCCCTTTACAGCAGTAATCAAAATTGTAAAAAAGTATAAAAAAAATTTGCATTTAAGATAAAAAAATGTCATCTGTCAATAAGCTCTATCCTATGAAGTGGAAAAGTTTAAGTCTCACCTGGTTTCATTTGGTAATAAAATATTTAAGGAACCACTGGTTATCAGATTATCAATTGATTAATCGAAAAGATTATCAAAAGATTAATCGATTTGCAACATAATCAGTATTTGCAGGCCTTATATACACCCTAACCATTACAAGAATTTTGCCAAAAGTCCATTTATTTTTACAGTCCGTGGGGCCTAATTTGTAGCTGGAGTCCTGTGTGCACAATAGCAACTTTAACTCATCTGGAAACTTTATCCATAAGGTTTATGATATTGTTCATAGATGAGAAATGCAGAGCTGCAGCTCCTGCTTTGATTCCCAAAGCTGCTGTTAGAACTCCTGACTCTTATTCACATGTAGCCATTAAAGTAAAGTAAAACTCAACCAGAGTGTAGTTAACATCATGCATTTAATCCTAATAGCACACCTTAAAAGAGGAAGTCTGCCGCTATAGAACCACTCTTTGGTCCTCATAAGGAGTGCTGTCCTCAAATGGTTGTTGGATATTCCAGAAGAGATCCTTAATGGATGATATAAACAAGCAAACACACACTACTGTTCGTTATCTTTAGTCTGTGGATGTATGTTGGATCTTGCAGTTCTAAAAAAGCGTCCTCCCCACCAGAGAAAAGAGATACGACGACAACATGGAAGCCATGCTGGAATGTGTGAGAATGTCCCACAGCAACGCTTGGAGCAAAGACCCCATGATGCAGCTGAAGATCACGGCTCTGCTCAGCCCCGAGCTGTGTGTAAGGATCTGTCCTCTAAAGACAAAAAAAAAATAATCATACCGATTTTCTCTCTTTCTTTGCATACAAGTTATATACATAGTATTTTGGGGGATGCATATACTCACTATATTCTAGTACCAGTAAAAAGCCTTGAAAGTCTGCATGTATATGGAGGGAAAAAAAGATAAGAAGGCACATTTTACTGTTTGCATTGTCAACACCTACATAAAGATGCTTTTGCTGATTTGTGACCTACTTGTTGCCCCCTTCTCTCTCTGTGTCTGTCATGTTGATCCATTTTTGTCTTTCTGATGAGACTACACTGATTGTGTCAAAGGTCAAACTCACAACCCTGCTTGCATGTCAACCATTCGATCTGAGCCACCTTGTCCGAGCATTGGATGGAACAGTAAGCCAGCAATCCACTCAGTGATGTAGTTTATGTCCAGGGTGTCCAAATCCAGTCCTCCTTCAACTTTTAGATGCATCTCTTCTTCAGCACACCTGAATCTACTGAGTGGCTCATTAACAGGCCTCTGGTACGACATGTGGAGGGATTAAGCCATTAGATGCAGAAGTGTTGAAGAGCAGACGCATCTAAAAGTTGAAGGATGGTTTATCTCAAGGACTGGACTTGGGAAACCCTGGTTTGTAGAGTCTATAATTAATTTATAAATTAACTGATGATTTAACGGTTTTTACCATTTTCAGATGATAACATTTCCTGGATTAGAGGAAAAGGAGGCGGTTCATTTCCTGTGTGGTCTGCGGAGACTGAACAAAATAGCAGAGGTAACCCTTTAGCAGTGTTATCCATTTGTGTTTTTGGTATGGTACATCTCCCAGGAGTTTTATTTTCTTCTTTTGCTTAGTCATTCTCCTAGTAATGTACAAAAACCATGCCGTGAAAAATAGCAACATGCCTGTATGGATGGATAATTACACAGAAGCAAATTTGTAATTTTCAGCTTCCAATAATAACCTTTTTTTTAATAAATATGCACTGCTTTTGATCATTTATAGTTTAAAATCTTTTATTTCCAGGCCAGTGTGAACAAAGTCAGAGTGCTGGTTGATGCAGAGTACACCTACATGAACCCAGCTCTCACTCTTATCACCATGGCGCTGATGAAGAAGTTTAACAAAGATGGTGCTTGGATCTGGAACACCTATCAGTGTTATCTAAAGGCAGCTGTCGTTACCTATGGTTCAATAACCTCTACGTCTGAACCTTTCTACTGTTTACACTCAGCGATGGTGATTGATGGGTGGGTCTGATGTGTCCATTAGGAGTCCAGGTCTCTGCTGTTAGAGGCTCTGCATCTGTCACAGACTGAGGGCTTCTGTCTGGGGGTCAAACTGGTACGAGGAGCCTACATGGACAAAGAACGAAAGCTGGCTGAGAAGGAGGGCCGGGTAGACCCCATACATCCCAGCTGGGAGGAGACCAATAAGAGGTTGCAACTAACCTGACAATTAAATAAAGAGCTGCATAATATATTAAATGACAGTATTTCACTCTTAGTATGTCAATCATCTCAATGCAGTAATTGGTAAGTTTTTATATGACATGCATTAACAATCTGCTGTAGCATTGTCTAACAATCAGTTACCATTAGCTAAATATGAAACTTACTAGTCCTCACAGTTTAAAAAAAGAAAAAAAGAGTGATGGGCCAAAATTTGCACTCCAAAATATTTTGGGCTTGTGTTTCAGCTTTCTCTCCTGCTACACTTATACCCAACTTATGTTCTGTTTAAATGTGCATATGCCCTGGAAAAACAGATAAAAAATAAGTTAAAATGTCTTAAAATAAGTATTTCTGTGTTTAATTTAAGCAGGTTAACAAGGTGATCTGCCAATAGAATAAGTAAGTTTGGCCTTGAAATAAGATACTTGGATATTATGCCTCTAAAAAAGCATAAGTATCTTAGTTTAAACAAAGGTCATCTTATTTCATTGGCAAACCGACTTACCAGATAAATAAGGTAAAATTTACTTTTTTAAAAGAAAAGAAACAGCAACTTTTATTGCATTGTTTTTGCAGTGTCAGTTATGACTGCACGAATGTGGTTCTGGTGTAGAAGCCTGCTTTTTTTTTTTTGTTGCTACATTTTTTTTTTAACCTCTAATTTAGTCTATTTAGAAGTCATACCTTTTTATTAATCAAAAAAAAAAAAGAAAAACAGCAGGATATAAACTTTATCATTGCTTCTTGTGAAAACAGTTACAATGGCTGCCTGGATGTGATGCTGGAAGCCATATCACAGAAACCTGACCGCTACAGGATCATCGTGGCTACTCACAATGAGGAGTCTGTGAGACGAGCTGCTGAAAGGTCAGAGCATGAAAACACATTCTGAGAGGGTCAGATGGACATGTACACTATAAGTGTTAAAACGTCCTCCACATGCAAACCATTTTCCATTCAGAGGAACAGCTGACTTCTATTCTTCAATTACCTTTTTAGCAATTTCATCTCTTTCAAAATGCATAATAATGATGCCTTCATAATGTGCACCTGATGTCATATGCTTTGAACAATCTAACTGTAAAAGCCAAGAGGAACAGACTGTAAAGATAAAAACTAAATATTGATTTAAACCCTAAAATGAACAAGCAGCCATTAAAGGAAGGTTCTGTCTCTCTTTAACCAATTAAAAGCTGGAAATAAGACATACATGTCTTCAGACGCCATAGTGGATAGTTACAGTTGCTTAAATGTGTCATTTTAAAAGAACAAGTTAAACTCGTCTCAGTGGATTAAAAACTAGATCTGATATTTTAAGATAGAAAATCCGTATTTTCACCCAGAAGCTTTAAAGGAAAAGCAACCCTCTTTTCGTCCTTAAAATTAAGGAAGTGAGTCATTCAGCCAGGATTTCCCAATTAATTACTTACCATAACGAGCATTTTTAAGTCAAAAGATTTGATCAAATATTTATAGTAATTTTTGTCTCATCATCGTTTTATTGGAACACAAAGGCTGTCATATAATCTTAATATTTCTGTTCAGGACAGAAATATCTATTGGCTGAAGACACCAAGTGATAACTTTTAAACTTCATCTAATTTCTTTGTAATATCTGTACACTAGGATGGAGGAGCTGGGGATAGACAAAGATGGAGGCTCGGTGTGTTTCGGCCAGCTGCTGGGAATGTGTGATCATGTCTCCCTCACACTGGGTGAGATAAGCTCTACTACAGCATTTTTTGCAAACATTACAGCTGTGGTCCTTGGGATTTGGCATGTTTCAGATGCGTCCTTCCGCCAAAAAACCTTATTCATGATTGGCTCACCTATTCAGCATGTTATTAAGGGCTGCAGCCTTTATTTAATGCAGGGGAGCATCTAAAACATGGAGTCCAGTCATTCCGCAGGATTTCTCCATTGCAGCACAATAACATACACTGTAAATCTTCTTGCTTAACCTTCATCTGCAGTGACAATATCTGATGTCTTTCATGTTTTGGCTATTTTGTTTCCTCTTTTGCCCAGCTAAGGAAGGCTATCCTGTTTATAAGTCGGTGCCATATGGCTCAGTGGATGACACTCTGCCCTACCTGGTGCGCCGGGCCCAGGAGAACCGCACCGTGTTACAGGGCATTCGCAAAGAAAGAGACCTGCTGAGGCAGGAGCTCAGATACCGGATGAGGCTGAGGGGGCGCCAATAAAACAAATTGATAAACGCAGAGACTAAAGACATGGAGGACCAGGAGAAAGCTGGTATGAATGCTGCTTAGACTCGGTAACAATCTGGACCCAAAGACATGCTAGCAGTAGTTTTACCAATGGTGTAAGGACTATAGGAGCAGGCTGCATGGGCTTAACTTTAAGGATTAAGATAAAGAACGACAGATGATCAAAAGGGATCGAAAGCTGAGACAGAACTGGATTCTGCAAAAAATCCTGGCCTAATCAAAGCCCAGATCTGGATCTTGTTGAGATTCTGTAGAAGCAAGTTGAAATGGGACTAAATCCCCCCAGCTGAAAGTGAAGAGTGGGTCCTTTCTGTGAATTATGGATTCAAGAAGCGTCTTACAGAGAAATTTCTCTGCTGAATGCTTACAGGCATGATGGGCTCAATATAAAGCATTTAAATCCTTAGATAAGCTGGAAGCTAATTTTCAAGCTACTACATGACTAAAAATTGGAAGTAAATCATAATTTTTTGCATTAGAAAAATTAACTTGAGGTGGAAACTATGGCTTTAGTCCCAGATGGTCATATTGTTTTGCATCCATGTGTGAGTTTGCGGTTTATTACTCTCGTTTTTTTTTTTTTTTTTTTAACAATTTGCTTAATTATAAATATGGAAAAGAACTGCTATGAGTCACAAGTTCAAACATAACTGGATATAATCCAAAAAATCCAAATGGTATATGCCCTTTAACTCGAATACTTGAGCCTTTACCTTATACCAGTTTATAAATGTATTGCGAAGCTTAAGATTTTTTTTTTTAATATTATTTAAAGTTTTCAGTTTCTAGAAAAAAAGAAAAAGAACTGCATTGTAGAGTTGTAAATCATGCTTCTAAGTGTGGTTGATTGTGAAGATTCAACACCAGATTGTTTTTGCCTTACTGATAAATAAAAAACTAAACAAAATGTTTATTTCTGTTTTTTATTTATTTTTATTATTTCTGGTTTTTAAAGTAAATAATATTTGCCATGTTGGAATCCAGCTGACTGCTTTCGCTAAAGGTGAAAATCATGGTACATAAAATTGGTACATAAAGCAGACTGTAACACTTCAAATCTGTGGAAGAGGCTAGGTTTCAGGATGTGGCCAAACTCCGGTTGTTTTGGGCTTTATGGAATGAAAAAACTCCAAGAAGTGAAATACAAATTCTGATTCCTAAGTTCAGTAGTTGCTTTGGTTTTGATTCCTGTAGCCTCCTCGCTGGTAGCCGCCCTGCTTCTGCTGGTAGCCGCCTTTCTGATCTGTTGACACAGAAATTGAATAAAAAATAAGCACATTGAAATATTAAAACAGTGAATATAAACTGCTTAATTCATGGGGAAATTGTAATTTCATTTTTGAGAATGAATGCAGAACAAAGAGCTGATAAATTGTTTAACAAACCTCTCTGGTATGGCTGCTTCTGCTGATATCCACCTTTCTGATCTGTAAACCCAAAAGAACAGGATTCAAGTTCAGGTTCTTCTTATTCTAAATACTTCGCAGTACTTTAAAAACTTTATTCAGTAGAGAACTATTCCATCTAGAAGGACAGCTGTTTTTTCCAGATAAATGACATCTGCTACAGGAAATCCTTCTAATTTCATTGATCAAAAACACAGAGCAACAAATCAACTTTGCTTATGTAACCCCAGCTGACCTCTGTTAAAGTAGCCACCGTAGACGCCCTGTTTGAGGTCGAAGATGCGCTCGTTGTTCTCCACCAAGCTGCCCAGTTTCTCTGCCAGCTGCAGAGCCATGTTCTGCAGGGAGGTGGGTTCAGTGCGGTGCATCACCACGGTCTGTGTGGGCTGGTCAAGAGACGCCTGTTGAGATAGAATGATGCAGGAAAAAAAGGGCTATTAGTCCCCTCAATAATTAATGGTTATACACCAAGATGTATTCGTTATGCTAATATACGAGGTTCTCACACCTTTAATATCTAATTTAAGGACCATGTGCAGCAGCATTTACGTTCTGCCACTGATAGTGACATTTATAGCTATGTTTACATGGACAGCAGCATAGCATGGCTGAACTAGAAGGTTTCATGTAAGCATGACAGCTGGGATATTTTAATTAGATTCTGCAGGACAGGAAAGAAACTGTTGAAGTGGGTTACAGAGGGAAGCAAAGCTACAGCTTCATAGTTACTAACAAGATGTGGCTCACATGTTCACACTGAAACATGAAACTGGTGTTTTCTTATTTCCTCCACTCAGGGACTCTGTTTCAAAAATGACAGCTTATGCTATCGTATTGCTTTTTTTAAACTTTCATGGTCTTGAATCTTGTAGGATTTTTAGGACCCTTGGAAATCAGTGTATGGAGACTAAAAGCTCACCATCAGCTCCTCATTGATGATCATCTTGCTAATAATGCTATGAACTGTTGGGATCTCCAGCTCAAACATCTCGGACAATGTCTCCATGCTGCAGATCACAGAGAGAGAAAAAAAGAAAATAACTAAGAGATTAAAATCACTTATGATTAAGTATCAAGTAAATCTGATTTATTCATTAAAAAAACCCTTGAGTTTGGAGTACAGCTGTAAGATATCAATAAAAAAGAAAAACTTAGCTGCAACCCTTTGAGTAAATATGACGATATCAGTCATTATTGGTCCAGATGTTTTTGATTCAAAACTGATAGTGAAAATATCAGCAACTAAAAACATGAATCAGATGTTACCGTTGAAATTATTTTAACTGGTCAAATATTTCCATTGACAGAGACTGTTGCATGAATTAAACGCTGAATCCTACCGAAAACAATCATTTTGCATGAAATGATATGAGCAGCTTTAGTATCAAGAGAGTTGATCATAAAAAAAAACCTCATAAATCCACCAAATTTATATTGATAAACTTTGTAATGCTGTTTGCTGTTTACCTGATGGAGTCGTACACACTGCTGTAGGTGAACAGATACGTTCTCAGGGACTCCTCCTGGATCTTCCTGTAAAAAGATCAATTTAACGTTAACAGACGCATTAAAAACCACAATGACCAATTTACTATACATGCAGGTAGGAGCAAACATTACCTGACGAGCATCTCGCGTACTCGCTGCGTTTCAGGAAACAGGTCCCAAACTTTGCTGTTCATCTTCTCATTGATGATGAATGAGTGGCAGGTGCGCCAGTCGCCCATCTTCATGGCCTTGCTAGCTGCTACCACATGTTCCCTCATGCTCTCTGGGGGTCCTGGGGGTAAAAAAAAAGAAGAAGGAAACATTAATCTTCTGTTTGTCAGATGAATCTGATTCAGAGTTTAGAGTTTTTGAGTTCGTACCCAGCAGCGGCTGCCTCTCTCCCACTCGGAGCTGATGATGGAACTGCTTGCTGATCATCCTACGGCGGGCGTCAAACTCATGGGCAGCCATGTAGGGGATTTCCAGCAGCATGGCCGACACCAGGTAGACACACTCCAGCAGCTCCAGGTTGATGTGCATGTGGAATGGGACCTACAACCAAAAAATTTAAGCATTAAATTTAACCTAAGAACAGGCCAGTTTATTCTATAATTCAAAGTGTCTCCAACTTTTCCTGTTTGAAATAATTTCCTTTTCTTTTTAACGCTGGTTTTATAACATTTCTGGAAATTTTATATATGGTTTTCTAGTTTACTTTTATTGCTATACAAATAGCATCACACACTTTAAACAAGATGACCTTAAAACAGCTCAACTTTACGCTCTATATTAATTTCTGACCCAGATCAGTTCTACATCAAAATCTGCAAACACTTAGACTTGTAAAAGGCTTGTAAAAAAGTGGCTGTTGAAATTTGATAACTTTATTTACCTTTATTTAGTTTTCAGGAATTAATGTTTCTGTGTTTTATCAAAAGTAAAAGTAGGAGCAAGACGTGGATCAGTGGTAGAGCAGGGGCATCATATACAGAGGGTTCAGTTGATGGCCGACCCTTGGTCCGTTTACTCCACCTCTGGCCTTTTTACTGTTCATTTTAAACTTTTAATCTTTAACTTTTGCTTTTCTGTTAGTGTTATTTTTTTTGGAAGATATTTAGACTTGCAATCTTCCTGAAATTGATTCAGAAAATACAAACTTCATAAGTTTGGTAAATTAAAGTTGGTTGGACTTCATAAATTCTAAATTTTCAACCCTAATAATTGCTTTAATGTTAGTATTTTGATTTAGTCAGCCTATAAGAATTTCTATGCATTTCATCTTTATGGGATTTTAATATGAAAGAACAGCACCTGGTCATGCATGATTGGTTTTCAACATACTACGGTGGTTGACGAGGGCAAATGCACAATAAAAAAAAGACTAAATCAGCTGCAAAAACTTGCATGATGCAAACTCCAGAACTTAGCATCAAACAAACCAAAAAATGCAGCAAACAAAAAAAGAAACGAGCTGTAAACAGATGTAAACGTGCCGCCGTCTTTTTGTTTCTGTAACATTAGGTTTTTTGTTTGCATCAATGTGTGCATCACTCATGTTTGTGTAGCTCGTTTTGTTGTTTACTCCACATTTGCACCTGTTGGCCACCATATTTTACTGACATAAAGCCTGAAATGTTATAGTTTGGGTTTAGGCCTGTACTAAAACAAATGTTTAGTTTCCCTTCATCACAAATACAGATTAGACTAAATTAGCCCTGTGGAACAGAGATTGGTTTGCTGCCACAGGAGGACTTACCTGTCTCCTCTTTTCGATCTTCTCCTGCTCTGCGTTCCTTTCCTGCATGTTCCTCATCAGCAGACCCTGACCCAGGAGTTCCTTGGCGCGGCCTGATGACTGGATGTCTAACAGAGCGTTGTGGGCGTCTTTAATCATGCCCTGTCTGAAGGCACAGATGCCGAGCTGGACCATGGTTCTGTTGTAGAGGATCTTTAAAGGAACAAAAAGCAGAATGCTGATTACTGCCGTTCCTATTTGAGCTACAGGAGTTGGCTTGTTGTGGTGTAGCCCTGAACTAACCGACCTGCACTGGTGGATCAGCGTGCTGGATGTTGTCCTGCAGGTGACTCATGAGCATCAGGTCACGGGCCTGGTACCAGCGTGAGTGGAGAGCATGGTGGTAGATGTGGCAGAGGATGGCGCAGGTACGGATGCGGTCTGTGCGATCCTTGGCGTAGATGAACTTGCAAAGGCGGTCCATGATGATGGCGCTGTCCTCTGCCTCGCTCTCCTCCTGGTCCTGCTCTGACTAAACAGACCAGGACAACCTTTTATTGAACCCATTCTGGTCAGAGGAAGTAGCTTCCCTTTCTGCAGCTCTTCCTTTCACATCAGCTGCTCTCACCTTGGTTTCTCCCTGAAGGCCTAAGCTGCGGCGGTGGGCCTTGTAGTCGAACTTGTAGTAGGTGTGCATGATTCTTCGCAGGTAAACACGGCAGATCTCCTCAGTGCTTCCTTTGTTCTCCAAGTAGGAGAGAAGCCGGTCAATGATGCCACAAACTCGACCTTCGTCTTTCAGGTTATCCACATACTCTGCATGAGCCAAACCAGAACAACAAAGACATTCAGTAAGTTTTACTTTGCTGCAGTGATCTTTATAAACAACTGAACTGGTCTCTGGGTCTCTGTACCTTGAGAATGAGGGTCAGTGTTCTGCATTATCTTGGTAAACTCTTCATCCATCCTCTCTACCAGGGTCAGAACGCATCCTCGCACCCTGAAAGGCTGACCAACGCACACAGAAAGAAGATTAACTTCAACTTAATTTTTTAATATTTCCAATTTAATTTTAATGCATCTTTAACCTGAAGTTAAACCACCAATAAAACACACTGCAAGAAAATATTTATCAAATGTTTAAGAGAAGGAAGATGGCTCACCTGGTCTGAGATGATCAGATTCTCGCTGTCCTCAGCGATGTTCTCCCCGATGAAGATGTTGTTGTGCTCAAACAGAATGTCCAGCAGCTCGTCAATACAATCCAAGCACTTCTTCCACATGTCGGCCTGAACATAGACCCCACAGCAACACAAAAACACATTTTCACACCCAGGATTACAAGAGCCCTAAATGAATCAGCAACGGTAAGGCCATAGAGAAAGCAAAGCTCTCACCTTCATGAAGGCTGCCAGGTTGGGGTTATAATCATACAGAGAGGCGATTATATTGAACTTGATCTTAACCATGATCCCTTGGCCCAAGTTATTCTCAGCAGCGATGGCCGCCAGGGCATGGAGCAGATCAATCTGAGCAGCCCTGTAAGAGGAAATAATGCTGGTTTTAAAGGACTGAAACATGGCGGTCAGTTGTCCTTCATCCATGTTCAGACTAACATCAATATGAACCACACTAGACTTTTGCTGTAAAAACAAAAAATAATCAAACTACCAGATAAACCATAGCAAGTATGATTCTGATTCCTAACAGAATAATTGCAGGAATTCTCTTCTGTCTTTGCAAACATATAAACTCTGTCATTCCTGCAGTTATAGTTAGTTGAAGAAAGGCCCGGACCCCTGAGGGATCTCCACTTAACGCTGAAATCAGGAAAGCATTCTGAAAACATCCAAATGTGCTTTCCTCAATGAGGAAAGAAACAAAAACATGTTGGAGAAGGAAACACTCCGAGTTTTCAGTCACAGGATCTTCCTTCTATAACTAAAGCAGTTGAACATCAACTTCCCAGAGAATGATTGTTTGTATTCTCTCACATTTTTGGCAGAGAAATTAACAACTGCTACTTCGGTCACAAATGAGCAATTTCTGTTCCTATGGTGATGGTGTTTTTAAATAACAATTTAGTTCTTCAATATAGGAAGAACAAAAATGGAGAATAACTGATGGTCAGTTCATTCCAACCTGCCGTCTCATGAAAGACATTCAAGCACAAAAACAGCAGCGACAGCCTTGATCCTTTAAAGTCCGGAAATGATCCAGAAAGATTTTATTTTATTTTGCAATAGTTTTAAAATTTTACTTTCCAACAACCATGAGCATGTAGCTGTTTCAGTGAAGGGTTGAATAGTTTTCATGACATTGGAAGCTTGCTTCTCCAAAGTCCATGATGGCAGGACTTTACTGAAAAAGTGTTTAATTCTACTCAAATGCATCTTCTTTCTACCTGCAGCTCTCGTTCTGTGTGGCAGCAAACCCACCTTAAGCGTTTAACGCAGAAAAAAAAAATCTGCATTTACCTCTTGCTAAAACTGAGTGGCTCTGAGGTTGGAAAAGAGGGTTTTTACTAAATTGCAATAATATGGCAAACAATTTCCCAGCATTAATCTAAGTGTTTGCTTTATTTAACTGTAAACCTCTCACCTGTCTGTACCCTTTTTGCCCCTGGCTTGCAGGATTTCATTGAGCTTCTTCACCACTACTGGTACGTTGATCTCAGTTCCTTTGGCGAACATCTTGGGCTTCTCCTGTTGGACGAGCAACATCAGAACGCAGCGTTATTTCCATCTTGTTCCTGCTTTTTTGCAGGGCAACACTGATCTCTGTTCTGTTTTGGGATTAGATAAAACCCTCTTGCGTTACCTTGACCAGAGGGACACCTCCTTTAACCTTCTCCCAGGGTCCTTCACCATCCTCGACCCCTTCGCCCTCCTGAAGCTCCCCAGCTCGCTCTTTTTTTTGCTTCTTCCTCTTCTCAGCCTTCTTCATGCCGGATTTGTCAGTGCTGGACACCCTGAGGACAGTAATCCTTCATGTAAATGACCATTTTTCCTTTTTTTAATCCAGCTTCTAGCGCTGCAGCAAGATTACTCCGTCTGCAACTAGACTTACTTCTTGAGGAAAGCTGTGGCCAAAGACTTGCCCTTCCCTTCCTCATCATCTGAGCTCTCACTGCCGCTTTCCTCAGAGTCTCCACCCCAGTCCTCGTCATCATCATCATCTTCATCACTCGAAGAGGACTCATCCTGTTGAATGAAAAGTAACCGTTTGTATATAAGCTCCCACTTCATCATCCCTCTATCAGAACCAACCTGAACACGGCCAGACGTCTTACCCCAGAACCCTTCGCCGTCTTCAGGAACTTGCTCGCTTCTGAAGCACCTTCAGGCTTTTTCTTCAGGAAGGACTTGGCTGACACCTCCTCCCCTGCATCATCGTCGCTTTCAGATGACGAGCCTTTTGGAACAAAAACAACAGTTCTGAAAAACATTTTGGCAACTCAGACCTGCATTCCAATATGATGGATAACCTCCAGCTTTATAATCTCAAATCATACCAGAGTCTTCCTGCTCCTTCTCCTCCTCTTCATCTGCAGACTCCTGTGGGTTCTAAAAAGAAAAAAATCTTCATTTTTTTTCTTTGTTTCATTTGTGTTTTAATCCTAAATATTATTGGTCTCCTTCCAAACGTACCTCCTTATAAGAAGCTATCTCGGTTTCAAAATCTCGGTTGTATTTGCGGATCTTCTGACGCAGGGTGCTCAGCGCCTTTGCGTTGTTTTTGTTCATCTTCTTCTTGCCCTCTTTGTCCTCCCAGAGCTTTAAGGAAGAAAAAAAGATTCATCATTTGAAATAAGGAAAATCTAAATTTAGCTACCGAGTATAAAGCCTAACCCCCCTACCTGGTTTAGATAGTCCTCCAGGTCAGCCAGAAGGCGGATGTAGAACTGAGGGACCCCTTCTTTATCCACAATGTTCTTACTTTTCAGGAAGGCTCGACATAACTGTTCAAACTCCTCCAGACATTTGGCCATGTCACGGATCTTCATGGCGTTACGAATGGTCTTTATAAGATTGGTCAGCTCTTCAAACCTAAAACATGAATGGAAGTAATTAATGATAAACCTGAAGGTCGACAGCAGCAATTCTGTTTAAAGGGACGCCCCCTTACCTTTTGTCCTTGGCGCTACGCACCACTCTTTTAGTATCCTCTTCATCATCGCTAAGAAGCAACGACCTGAGAAAACATAATTAATCTGTGAGACATTACGAGGAGCAATAACGTAGGCTTCGGTGGAAATAATCACTGACTGCTTTATGGTGGTCCCCGGGGCTTTGGAGGTGATCTCATCGCCGGATGAGGACTCCTCTGACTCGCTGTCAGACCCGGTGGCAAAAAAACGTGACATCGCTTATGGGAGCCGCCAATCTGAAATGATCCAAATAAGACATCCACGACATCAGGTGAATGATCGCCACGTCAATATATACCAGTTAAAATTGCTAACACATAGAGTACAGGAACAATGAAAAAAAAAATCCTGTGAATATCAGTAGATGATTAAGAACACACAGCGCTTATAAGATGCGTTTAAAGTTATTCTTCATATAAAAGAAAACTCAATTCTTTATTAGCTTGTTTTCCTTCTTCCAATAAGCCAACTCCATGGCTTTGGGAACCAGTTTGGCCCAAGACTGCAGTATAAATTCATAAGATAAAGAAACCGCCCTAGAGTTTGTTCAGATCTGCACTGAAATCACTAATATTACTAACAAATCGTTTGTGTACATTTGTTAATGATGATTGTTAGGGGAAGTGGCGGCCTAGTGGTTAGGGCATAGAGCTTGGAATCCCGAAGTTCTTGGTTCGAGTCCCACTGCCACAGACTGCCACTCTGGCTCCCTGAGCAAAGTGGCATGCCATGATGGCAGCCTACTGCTCCCCAAGGGGATGGGTTAAATGCAAAGGTAAATGTTTCCAATGTGAGATCAATAAAGTTAAATTATTATTATTAAGTCTGCCTCGTTGGATTGATGTGATCATATGAATACAAACTAGGACTGCAACTAATGTTTATTTTGCAAATCGGTTAATCTGTCGATTAATTTTTCAATCAATCAATTAATAATGGGATAGCGAAAGGCTCCTTAACCCTTTAAAGCCCGATCCAAGAATAAAACAAAACAGAAAATTACTTTTTTTTGGTTTGAAGTCCTTATTTGGCCTTTTAACAAAATATGTAAAAAGAACAAAAAGAAATACATTTTTGATATTAATAATTTATTACTATGCGATAAGTCAGATTATTTTTTGTGTAGTCTTCTGCCCTCTGTTATCAGGTATATCTGATTGTGTACAATAGGATTTTGAGCCAAGTTTTTAACCATTAAATTATGCAAAAGCTGTCAGACGCAAAACATTTCAGAAACCGTATGTATCAAATATGATACATAGCATTACAGGGTAAAATAAGATTTTTTACAAAATTAAACCAGGGGGAAACTAAAACTTTTCCACTTGAGGAGTTCTGGATAGAGCATACTGACAGACGAGAAAGTTTTTTTAAATCTTAAATGTAAAATGTTTACCTATTTTTCTAACAATTTGATAAAATGATCGCTCTAAGTGTGTTGCTCTGTCAGCTAAAGGCATGTTTCAGAATCCCTTTTCCCCAGTTAATGATTAAGCAATTACTAAATTACCGTAGTTGATTATTTCAATAATTTATTAATCCAATTAACTGTTCAGCCCTAATACAAACCAAAAACACCAGGAGAGAAAACGCACCAGAGTTCACTTTTAGCCCCCTTACAGGGCTGTACAGTGAGGTTTGCATTTCCCCCTAAATAAAAATAGCAGCATGCATGAGACTACAGGTATCAACCCTTTAATTTGCACTTTTCTGTTAAAACATGTCTGGCTTGATTCAAACACGATTTCAGTTCATCTTTGTTAAAAAAATAAAAAAAGGGAATGTCATGAATCTCTCACATCTAGCAAGATTAGCAGCTGCCTTCCTAGATGTCATTTTTGCCCTCACCAATGTCTGTCAGGCAAAGCACTTCAGGTGTGCCACCAACAGCTCTGCCCTGGGCTGGGCTGCCAGTAAATAGCAGGTCAGTGCAACAGGGAATACATTTCAGAAAAGTGAAATAGTAAATTTGGGATAAAATATTACTACGAGACGTCATCGTAGCCTTACAAATTTCTGGTGGCACTGAATGCGGCACAATTTTCAACCTAGAGCTTCTGTCGCTGCAGTTAGTCACTTTTCAGACCTCTCCACTGCCCTTTTATTTTGTTAATAGACACTTTGGCAATTGTTCATAAAAGCACAAAACTCTGTCCTTCTGAGGCACTGACCAATGAAGTCTCAACATGGTATTTTTTTTTTTTTTTTAAACATCATAACAGAATTACATTAAAAGACCAAGTAATATATTGTTAGATTTACTTTTCTTGTACTTAGGTTGGAATTTATGTGTATTTTAAATTTAGATCAAATGAGATCCTATGAAAAAAAAATCCATGCTTAATCTTTTTGAGACATTTTATGATTTTTCCTAAATTTAAAGCTTAAAAACACAAATAAAGTGTTGATCTTTTAAAATGAAAATAGATTTTCTGTATTGGATATCTAACAAAGATGATAAGTTGTGTTTTTTAAAGTCCATAAACAGTCAACAAATCTTCAATATTTCCAGCTTTAAACAACTTTAATAAGTGCAAAATGTCCTCCTTTCGGATTATAATGGTTGAATACCCCTGCACTAGTGTCTGAGAGCTAATACTGCAATATAAAAACAGCTTATTAAAATGTAAGAAATTGTTTTGTCGGACTCCCGAGAGTGAGAAAAACAAAACAAAAAAAACACCCAGGATTTAAAACAATATCATCATAACACAAAAGCTCTTTAACGAAATGTTACCTTATCTATTTTATGGAAAGTCACCCCATAAGTTACGGACACATTATGTCCATAATATATAGCTATTAGCTACAACAAACTGTAACAGTAAAAAAATAAAATAATAAAAAAACAGATATTGTTATTTGAAAATTGACCTTCCTAAACAATAGTATCTTGGGGTAGTTTTTGTAAAGATTTATAAGCACACCAACCATTTTTGATGATGAATAGGGGAATGTTAGAGTGACATGCAACTTGAACAGTTCTATTTGAATGGAGTATTTGAAAAAACAACAAAATAATATGAATGACTCCTATTAAAAAGTACACAAAACTATGATCTGTAAAGGAGTGCATATTAAGGATGGAAAAATAAAATAAAATAAAAGACAAGAGATTTCAAATACAAATAAAAGATTTTTAGCCACATCAAAATTACTTCCTTTTTAGTTTGGGAAAACTAAAAATATGTATTTTCAAAGACAGATCTACATATTAGTCTTAATCTGGTTCCTACTGTGGAAAAACTTGTCAATATCCTGAAAATATTACATTGGACATTTCAAAAAGTTAGTTTTTATTTCTCACCTGGCTTTATTTATTTATTTGCTAAAAATGAAAAGCAGTTGATATCCTTGGTTGTCCAATTGCGATAAAATATAAATGAATATTGATAAAACACAAAGTGCTTATGTGCTTATGTTATGAACATAGAAAGGTGTTTCAATATTCCAAACTGACTTTCTTGCTGAAGCATATTTCAATAAACAAATATTTTATGAGTTGACCCATAACTTTCACCTTTTTTAATAATGTGACATTAGAACAGGACTTAAATGTTAAATCATGAATAAAGCGGGTTACCAGGCGAGGCGGTAGCACCTTTAGCAAACCGGGCTTAAATGCTAGAAGCCTAAAGTACACGTCAACACGATAAGTAAAAACGTTACCCAATTATATTATTATTCGAATTATGTGGGACTTTTTTTTCACAGCATCTGACAAACTAAGAAGGTACCAAAAAGTAGCAAACTATGACATATTTTGGGGGAAGCTAAAACTCGCTGTTAGTATGGCGCGGCCATCGAGCTAATGCTAGCATGAGCTACTAAGAGGGCGTCAGGCCTACTGATTTTCCTGTATCAACAGGCTTATAGTAAACGTCTAAATCTTCGATTGTTGTTGCGTTCATTACAAACTTACCTATGCTTCTGAAAACAGTATTTCCGTGTGTTTTGCTGTCGCTGAGATGTTAGAAAAATCCAGATTTGCAGATATGGGGCAACGGAAAACGTGTGCGACAAGCTCGCCGGGTGCGCGTGCCAGGGAAAGGAAGCTTACTGTAGATCAACATAGCATAGGGATGGTGCTGGAGCAACAGCAGGGTTCTGGGTTATGCTGCCACCTGGTGGTAGAATCTTATATTTTCTCGTTTAAATGCAGCAGCAGGACAATTACTTTTGTCACCTTTTATGTCTGACTTTTGTAAATTAAAAAAGAAAGCAATAGGATTTTGGAAGTATAAGCCTGTATATATGTAGTCCTGCTTGTATTTTAATCACACGTGGTGCTTGGCACAGATAAAATCAGAACTTAATTCCTCTTATTTTGATTATATTGATTCATTGATTGACTTTGATCTCACAGTGGAGAAATTTACTCTTACACCAGCTCTCGTGGTCAATGGAGAAGAATATGCCAAAGGAAGAGAAAGGTGCATGGGATTTATACAGTATATACAGTGTGCCCACATATGACAGCTTTTTTTTTTTCTTTCTTGTAGCATTTTTTATAAAGGGTTATTTCACAGGGTGTTTACATGGATATTTATCTAGATGGATATTTATATTTATTGCACTGGGTTTCAAATGTAAAGAAACACGTTATTGAACAGGGCATCAAATGTTAAATTGCACACTATACATTGCACAAGTTATTGCAGTTGTGTCACATTGTAGAGTCTGGTTGCAGAAGGTCTGCAGTAGCTCTCATATTTACAAACAGGGTGTAAAAGTCTTTCGTTAAGGAGCTCCTCAGCTTCTCTACAGTCTGGTGCAGAGGGTGGAAGGTGTTGTCTATGACAGATGTAAGCTTTGGACAGCATCCTCCTCTCATCCACTTCCTCCACTGAGTCCATAGTGCAGCCTAGGACAGACGCAGCCCTTTTCAGATATTTTTAGGAGAGTTTGTGTTTGTCCGAGTACAGGATAGCAAAATTTTTATTAGAGGTGTCCCTCATGCCAAGGAACAATCAATTACAATTTAATGAAGCAGATCATAATCTGGATATAGGAATTTCTAAAAGATTCTCTAACATTGTGAGATAGGGATATTTGGCAGAACAAGCAGCTTCCCTTTAAACCAGAGGGTGAGAGCAGTGACTAGTGAGGTATTTCACTGCTGATAACCAACACAAGAAAAGGGAACATTGTTGGTTTGTTAGCAGGATCAATTGAAAACTTATGGATTTTATTGAAATTTTTGACCATAGTTATGCCTTGTGCCAAGAAACAACTTAATTTTGGTAATGATCACGATTGTGTGCAAGTTTTAGCTATAGGTGTATGCATCACAACTTGGGTTAAACATTTAATGCACTGTCAGAGCAGTAAATGCAGATTGGGCTTAATAAATATGAAACATAAAACCCAATACTCAGTTTGGATATTTATAATTTTGTCGCAACCCTAAATAGCACATGTATCAGACAGATGGGTTGGCAACTCATTTTTAACAAACATATTTCTTAAAGGGCAGAAACAGTATGTTACCCTGCAGTAAAGGTACAAAAAACATTAAACCTGTCTTACCTGTATACATTGTTTTACCAACCAAACTGATGTGTGTCCAGACTAAGTCCACATAAAAGAGAAAAAGAAATTGGTTCCAGTCCAATTCCAGATTAATGCAGAAACACTTGGACTGTGAAGGTGTTACTAGTGAATGGAATGAAATTGGTTTGGAGTGAAAAGAAAAGACAAAAAAGCAAATAAGTAAAGCAAAGAGCTGTCAATTTTATTTCTTCTTGTGCTTAAACAGTTAATTTTTCTTAAAACACAAATTCCAATGTTAAAATTTTTCTTCCCCAAAGAGGCAAAGAGTAGTACATCTAATCAATAACAAAAACAAACAACAAAAAGATATAATGAAAAACAAAACAAAAAGAGCCAGCCCAGAATGAACTCTGGAGCCTGGGGGTTAAAGTTGCCCGACGCCTTGTAAAAAGGATCTGTTGCTTCATCCAGTTTGGAATCAATCACCTCATCAACTCCAAACTCAATGTGCAGACAGTCTTCCAACCTGCAGTCCCAAAGACTCCATAAAAAAAGGCAAAGCAGGAGTGCAATAACTTCCTGAAGACTGATTATCCCACTGAACCTTGTCATTGAATGGAGGAAGCTCAACATTAAATCGAGGAAAACTGATTCATCTCATCAGGGCTGAACTCCATAAAGATATACTGTGTGCTGGAAGAAGCCACGCTCTCGGTGAGATTTTTGCTTCTCCACCGACGAGATGAAAACTTCCCAGAGAGGATTAGATGAGTTGTAATGACAACCAAAAATTGTGCTCTACTTTGCCATCATTGTCCAAGAATGTAGTGGCTGTCGGAATTTTTTTAAATCCATGCATTACATCAGCACTTCACGCTGCTCGTCTGGCCGTCACCATTTCCGTCGGTTGTGGTGAGGCCTGAAGTTTCATACTTGCGTAGCTCTATATAGAGAAACAAAGACATACATCCTTTTGTTGTAAATAAAAACAAACAATTTTATCATTTGATTGCTTATGTATTCAAACAAGTATCAAAAATTACATGCTAGGGATGAAATTTAAAGCTCAATAAAATAACCAGGATACCTTCTTTCAGCCTTTGTATTTCCCCTGATTGTTGCCTGATTTTCTCTTCAAGCACACTGCATTTGGCACATCCTGCAACGAAAGACACGGGACAAAGTGAAAATGTATTTCTGTCAGAACATCCTTAAAGGTCATAAAAAAGTTACATGGAAATAAGACAGGAAAGTCTCCTATAAGTTGGTGATGTTCTACCCCTGGTGGCCTGGAGGACTTCAGATTCAGATTTATTACTGCATGGTAAACAAAAAAAAAAATTTGCAAAAGGCTCCATTACCTTTGCGCAAAAATGTTTGCAAGATAATTAAAATTTTTTCCCCTGTCCAATGAGACATTATTGAATGTTTAATACTGAATGGGTACAAGACTTTAACATTTAATTGAAAGTAATATGTAATATGATTTATTCAATGAATAAATTATAAATACATCGGTCGTTTTTCCTGCACAGGCCTTTATTTCTGATAGAGGAGTCGGAGCCTTTATCATGCATTTATCGTTATCGAGGTAAAACTACCCATTTTATCTAATATTGATATAAGGGCCTTTTCGCCCAGCCGTACTATAGCCTGTAGGTGTGTCCTACGGTTCAAGCCGCATTGAGGTTAATGGAAGAAGCATAAATAAAGAGTCACTTTTGTAAAAAGAATAGCTATAGATCCAGCCATGCAGTGAATGGGCAATTAATGCCCTATGAATATAAGGAAAAACTAACATGAATCTCTTCAGATTTATACTGACTAAATATACTTAGTTTATATACTTGAATCGACAAATATTGTTACAACTTTGGAGATCTTCATGAAGTGAAATCCACAATTTTACCTCGATAACTGAATTTAGACATCTTGCTTTAAACATAATAATGTACATGTCACTATAAGCTTATGGAGGACTGACTCTGCCATATATAAAAATAAATACAGAAATAAATAAATGCTCAATAAATAAATAAGCATACAATTAATTGCCAACAAAAATACAATTGGTCCCTCCTCATTGGCCTAATGAGGCAGAAATTCATATAGAAATGTAAAAAGGGCAGGAAGAAAAAAATAGCAGCGAAGAAATAAATAGGGTAAAAAAATACAAAGGAAGAATAAAACAGACTTTCCGTAAAAGGAAAAAAAAAAAAAAACACAAACTGGACTTGGTTTCCAAGATTTGAAGACGTTTCGCCACCTCTTCAGGAAGCTTGTCATTGACATGACATTTGAATTGAGAAAGCTTCCTGGAGAGGTGGCGAAACGTCTTCAGATCTTGGAAACTAAGTCCAGTGTTTTTTGTTGATATTTTACAGAATGACTATGACCTGGATGACTGAAAAACTTCATCAGCAATAAACCAGACAAAAATATTATAACATGCACATAAATACTTAAAAATATAAGTAATTAAAAAATAAAGTTGAAGATTATAAAGGAAAAAAAATTAAATAAGGTAAATATTACAAAGGCAAATAAATAAAGAAGCTAATTAAAAGAGTTATATACATTTATGTCTCACTGTATAATTTAATTTCTACTTACATTTATTTGTTTATTGTATATTTGGTGGCAATTAATTGAATGCTTATTTATTTATTGAGCATTTATTTATTTTTATATATGGCAGAGTCAGTCCTCCATATAAGCTACGTCTGCTACAAAAAAAACAAACAAACACGGGAACTGGAACTGATATCTACCGAACTGTCTCCCACAAACCTGTAGGGGGAGCACTAATATAGCCTCTGGAGTAGGGGAAGTGGTTTGACAGCTTTAATGAGGCCGCATGGTTTAAAGTGTTGGGGGAAAAAGGTGGCTGCTTTTAGTACAGAAAATATGGTAGTTAATAGTGTTTGGACCTTAATCAAATCTTCATGCTTATTATTCTGAATTCAACAGGTAACTTACTGGTGGTCATTTTTACAGCTGTCCTCTGTAATCTATGTTTTATGTTTGAGTGATGTGTATTCCCCCAGGCTTTAATATGTGAACTGTACAGTATTTTCATTGTTTCATAATTAACTTTTTTCGCTAAGATACTTTGGGACATTTTTATTTTCATATGTGCTATATGAGATTTCCATAACAATTCATCTCAATAATCACACCAAGAAAATGAAACCCAAAGAATCTCAATGCTAACTTAGTCTACAGATGATGCAACATTCTCTATTTTCTGATTTCCAAAAATCTAACAATTCCTCTTTTTCAAATTCAACAATAACTCCTTTACATCAAACCATTTGTTCAACTTTGTCATTTCTTCATATTCAATGTTTAGCTGAATAGAGTGAGTCTGGAAATAGAACTGTAATAATTTGGAAAGGCCACAGATATTAATTTTGCTGATCAGTTTGTTCTTTAATAGCAGCTTTTTTCTTCTGCATTTGCTTTGTGCTTTACCGTAATCACTGCCTTTGCAGTTATTTTTGTATTTGCTGCCAATTTATGTTATTGCATTTCTCCTGAACTCCTGGGTCACCGTAGCTTCACTATTTAATAGCAATAACACAGGTAAACATTTTAAAGACTTAAAACAAATGAACCTATTGCCATGGCGATGACAACAAAGATTCAGGTTCACATTCATCATCTGATTAACTGTTAAAGGGAGCAAGCCAAAGTGAATATGTGGCTGTGGAACTGCCCATAAGTATGATGCAACTAGTCTCATTGGACGGCCTATGCTTACCTTGGCTTTGAGGTTTAGCAAGATTTGCTCTCTGATTGGTTAATGGAGGTTTTAAACTTCTTCCTCTGCTGCTCACGTCACAAGAAGTCCCGGTCTTAGCAGTGCTTGCTTGCATCGTGGCATCTGAAATTTAATGAAGAAAAAACGGGAAAGGAGCAGGTTTGCTGAATCCATCTTGCTCCTTGTAACAGATCAGAACCATGGGACAACTTCTACTGACCAGTTTTGGGATTTTTATCGGGTGCAGATCTGTGGCCGGTTGTGGGCTGTTTCAGGGTTCTGACAGCGTTTGAGGAGCTGCAGGTAGATGATGGAGCTTCAGTACCGCTGGATGGTACTGCTGTGTCTTAAATGATCAGTGGTGAAAGAAGGAAGTTAGAATTCAGTTATCAGCTGCAGATGTTCAGTGAGGAAGTATTTTTTTATACCAAAAACACCAAGGATTTTCACAAAAATCTTGAAGACTCAAACAACAGCATTCGTACTCGAGGCTACTTTTCTTTCATTTTCTTACCCATTTTCTTCTTCTTTGGCTGAGGCAAAGCTTCCCCCTTGGTGAGAGGATGCCTTTTTCCTTGGGCATTCTTTGTGACAGCTGGATAAATGAGAGAATAAAGATTATAATTAATGAGGGAGAATGCTTCAACAGGCTGAAATTATAATCAACTTAAAAAAAAAAGAAGAAGTAATTGCTGAAGTTAATCTTAAAGCCCATTTCAGTGTGATTGGATTTAAATTTGTTTAGAATCAAACCATTTTTTTTGGTCTGATATCCAATATTTCAGCAAGAAGAAGCGGAAATAGAAAAAAAAAAAAACATAACAAAACAAAAACAAAATAAAGATTAGTGCATTACAAATGTGAAGAGCTAGCCGCATGGTTTGAGTCTAAATAACCCCACATAAATTGTCTAGCATAAAGATTGTTTTTAAGGTTATTATCCCAAAAACAAAAAGTTGTCTAGTAGTTGTCTTTCCTTTTTGACAGCTGCCATCAATGTCAGTATTTTACCAGCATGCAGGCTGGCTACGTTTGGACAAACCTGTAGATCCATTGAGTTTCTCTGTACTCGACGAGGCGGCTGTATTGATCCGTGTTCTCAGTCCCAGAGCAGCTCTAGGAAGGCCAACAGGAATACCACTCTGCTGGGGTCTCTGTAAGCCAGACACTGGCAGCTTGGAAGCTAGAGGTGGAGCAGCATGAATAAACAATAAACTGTTTAATTAATTTGTGTAAAAGAAAATCTCTTCCACATCATATATATAAGTGACCCTATATCTGCCTGTAAGACCAAACGGACCATCTAATTAAGTCGACTAAGCTTTAAAAAAACATAAAAAAAAACAAAAAACAGACCACTATCTTTATATTTCCTAACCATGCTGTACTTTGCATTGATCTTTCTCATACATACCCATTAAGTTTATGTCAGAATAATGTTAAAGAACAAACACGATCATTACATATTACGTCAAACTATATGTAGGGTTTGGTTAAAATAAACATTTCAGAAAACATGACCTGTTGATGCTCACCCAAGGACCGCAGGTTGTAAGAGCTTGATATTGAAGGTTTCTAAAATTCATAGGAACACAGAATGTTATATATACACATATGTATATATGCATTAAAAGCAGAGTTTAAGTTTTGCCAAATAATTGGCTCATATGAGAAAAAAAGGCGACCAAAGTTCTCACCTCCTGTTCCCCTGAAGGAGCAGCATTTTTCATGGCCTCCCCTTCTGCTCTGTGTTTTTTCACAGGCAGGCCAGTCGCAGCTGCTGGTGGATTACCCTTTGACGGCTGGGGGGGCAGTTTTAGCAGGAGGGCAAGGATATTTAGCAGCAGGTTGTCTGAAGAAAGTTTTCCGATCACAAACGATGTTTGATGGCATCGTGTGAGACGCTTTATTGGGCGGTTCTTCGTAAAGCTTTTTCTGCACTGCCAGGGCTTTGCCCGGCTCTGCCTTGCTGTCCAAGTTGAACAATTTACAGCTTGGCATTGGTGTAGAAGTAGTCAGGCAGTCCACTCTTAAATCTAAAGTCTCATCTAGGTTAAAGTTGTTGGTTTTGATGGAAACTGCATCCAAGCTTTGATGGTTTGAGAGGTCAGAAAAGCTGTCAGCTCCAAGCAGAGCGATCGTGAAAGATCTTTGATTTCACATCCATCGCTTGCATTAGCTGGCTCTAAAGCAGGATTGGCTTCAGATGTCCTTTCTGGGCTCCCATCCTTCTTTGCATCTGGCTCTACAGCAGCCGTGGTCTCCTTTCCTTGGAGCTTTGGTGAGTCATCTTCAGAACCGCTTTCGTTAAGGGTTCTGGTTGAATTTGATGCTTTGGGAGGGGTGGCATTACCTAAAGTGCTCTGAGGAATGTTGCTTGAGCTGATTTCTGATAAAATTACGGTTCCGTTTGGTTTAGAGCCAGGTTTACATTCAAAAGTGTCATTCCGATGACCGAGACAGGCAGGAGTTTTTTCAAAGGTAGAGATGATTTTGGATTTTTGGAGAGAATCCTTGTCGAACGTGGCATTCTGCCCGATGAGGAAGGTCCCCTCCTTTCCAGCTGAACTGCTTTGATTTACGACAAAGGAAGCCTGAGTTTTAGTGGTGCCGGAACTTTGCTGATCTCCGCTTTCAGTGACATCATTTTGCTCACTTGCATCACCCATTGGAAGGTCCACAGTTCCATTGTTAGTGTTGTTAGAGGGCTGCTCGATTGTAAAGGTGCCGTTTGAAGACGTGTCTGATTTTAAGCTTTGCTCTGACTCCTTGCCGGTTGACTCACAGCTGAGCGGCGGCTCTATAATCTTTGCATCTACAGAATCGGGGTTTCCTTTGATTTCTGATTTCAACTCAGGGATTGATTTGTCTGTTTCAGAGGACAAATCATTTGCAGCCTGAGCTGATGCATCACAGCATGGGTTTATTTCATGAGTGGTGTTTATAGATTGGCTACAGAGTGAGCTCTCATCTGAGTTCTGACATTTCATCATTTCTTGTCCATCGGTCTCTGCTTCTCGGCTTTGTGGAGATCTATTGCTTGATACCTTTGTGACACAGATAGTCTGGAGCTCTTCCATGTCTACAGAATCTGGCTTTTCACAGAGTTTGGAATCCAACTCAGGAATGGATCTCCCTATGCTAGCGGAGGAGATGCCGACATGCTGAGCAGGGGTGTCCTCAGAGGAGTTTAGATCTTGAGTAATATTAATAACTCTAGTGCCTTCATTTGGATTTTGACTTTTCTCCACTTTTTGACCACTTGCCCACGATGAAGAGCTTATGTTTTCCAAAGTGCTACTCATGCTGATATCCTGAGTTACTTCTGAGGGTGCTTGCTTCTGCTGTGAACACTGGACAGAACTCCCACTTGTACTGGACATCTCTTCGTTTGTGATGGTGTCCGATTTGCCAAGCTCCGTCATAATTTGCTCTGTGCTATCAGCAGATCCCTCAACAGCCTTCAAATGGCCGGCAGGTGAAAAAACTGGTGTGATGTCCATGGAGGACATCTGGCCAACTGGAGAAAATTCGGAGTCGCGTGTGACATCAAGGAGAGTAATTTCTCTCAAGTAATCATCAAGGATATTTTGAGTACTCTCAGAGGAATCCTCCACCTTGCGAAGATGATCTGTGGTCAGAGGAGATAACTCCAGTGGGTTATTTCTATGATGTGTAGAACTTGTTTGGGTGGGTTTCCTTTCACCATAAAACTGAGGGGTTGAAGATTTGCTTTCAGGAAGGACTGAATCATTTGTCGTCAGCTGAATCATTGAATCTGCAGTTACATCCAAAAGAGTAATTTCTGGCAAGCATTCATTAATGATCATAGAGCAATCTCCAACATTGACTACTCTTCTTAACTCTGTAGTTGATTTTTCGGAGTTTGTAGAAGGAATATTAAAAGGAACAGCAAAATTATGACTGCGTTGGTTCTGAAGAGACTCTGGACTCGAGCTTTTATTCCCAATATTTAGGTATTTCAAGATTGGGGTTAGAGCAGACTGGAAAACAGATACCCGTGACTTCACCTGGCCAGCACTGTTTTCATTCTTAGCAGCAGGAGTGGAAAAGACACGGGCGTCGAAAACATTCCCATTTTCTTCCTCTAACTGGGAGGTGAAAATCTCTACTTTGCTCAGTTCTGCTTTTTCTAGCTTTGAAGAGTCCATGGCATTAGGATCACTAGGTGGAACATTTTCACGGCAGTCATCCTCCTGTGGATCCCCTTGGATGTATGAAGCTTGGGTTGTTGTGTTATTAGCCATGAAAGAACGACTTTTGGTTTGCTTTGATAAATATTTAAACAGGACTCCCTTCCTCTTAAATAACCAATTCTAAAAATGCTTAAAACACATTGTCTTCAGTTTTCCTCGAAGCATGTAGTCTGGGGAGAGAAAAAAAAATGCATTAAAAACATTTTTTTTAAATCACAATTCTAATATATAAAATGTTTTTCTTTATTTTCCATTGGTGTTTTTTCCTCCTCTTCCCTTTCAAGACCAATTAGTTGCAAACTATAAAGGACTACAGATAAAGAGAGTGCAGAATTTCAGCCAGTCAAAAATTGAACTCTGGCTTTGACCTCAGAAATAAAAATAAATAAATAAAATAAAATGAATTAATAATAATAAATAAAAAAGGAACCCTCTTTTGGCTGTATTATGAGTCAAAAGCAGAAAATACATGCTTAGAAGAAATATTTATTAGGCTATGTTGTAAGTTCCAAACAGTTAACTCAGCCATCCAATCAAACATTTACCCATTATCTTTTTATGTCAATACATAACAGAGAGCTTATTAAGAGAAAATATGTCTAAGGAAAGTAAGGGAACTATCAACTCTGACATTTAGGTTAAAGAACATGGATTTTTTAACATTCGTAGTCACTTTCATCCAAGTGAGAGATGATATTCTGAACCATCAACATTTTCAGTACACAAAGCTGACGTAAACATTTATACTTTCTTTTTTTATATATACTTTTTTATATATTTTAGACAGTGTAGACCTGGTGGAGCAGATCTGTGAAACACAATCAGATGAAATGCCTCCAGAATTGGGTGTTTTAAAGAAGAAAGTAACTGTATCTTAAGCTCCTAAACTCAGTCCATCTAAACCTATTCAAACATGTCTTATCATTCCATCTATAACATTTGTAGACCTGAAACATACATCTTCCTCAGCCAAATAAAATAACACTAAAAATTAGAGGTTTGGAAAATCTGCCCTTTGATGTCAGTGATTTTAAACCTCAGCATCAGTTATGGAAAATCCCGCAAACGTTAACAGCCTGTGGGGGTCATATTATCCTGTTGGTGTGGAATGGACCAGCCAAACCTGTTGACCAGCTGAACCACTTCATAATGCTTTATGAGGCTGATCTCGTTGCAAAATAAAGCTCTTAAAAGAAAATAACAAAAAACAACAAATACCAACCTGGCATAAAAGACTCTACAATCCCAAAAGTCATTAAATAAAGAAAATAAATCTGGAGGTTTCAATCACTTCTACGACTAAATATTTGTAAAGTCTGGTGAGGAGAAACTTGACACGTTCTACTTTACAGAACAACTTTGGGATTAATTTAAGCGAAGGCAGCATTCTTTTAATATCTCAATGGGACGTCATTCTGCTGCTAATGCTCAACAACTCTCGTTAGTTGTAAGAAAAACTCACTTAAGAGAGCTTACCTTGGAAAGACAGAGGGATTTTAACCTTCCGTAAATATTTAACAAACCCTCTTCAGCTTCAGTGGTCGAAACGGAAACATTAAACCAGCTTGTTTACCGAAAGACCGAAAAAAATAAATACAACTAACACAAGCGTTGCAGCGCCAGTCTAGTTTAAAACTGTCAGTTTCCTCATTGGATAATACCATCCAATCACAGCCCGCGGATTCTTCTTCGGGGGTTTAGCATTCGAAAGGCAGTTTTCTGCCACCTGTCGTCTAAATGGTGTATGACTGGAAGTGAGGATTGTAAAAAAAAAAAAAAAAATAAATAAAAAAAAATCCACCTACGGATATTTTTTACCTTCTTTTCTTAAATGATGTCTGGTCAGATATTTTTCGAAGACTTCTTATCTGAAAGCACTAATGATCTGACGACTTTACTCTATCATGACTTGAAAATATCGTGATTTTATATTATAACAATAATAAAGTCGCAATATTACTACTTTAACCACTTTTTCCTGGTAATATTACGAGAAAGAAGTCGTAATCTTACGGATTAATTATTTTCTACTAGTGTGGCCCTTATACGTCGTCGTAGATGTCCATGTTATGTAAAATAAGAAAACATCCCAAATAAACGTTGAAGGTAGATCTCATGAAACTTTCATGTCGTTTGATTATGACGTCATCTTTTCAACCCCAAACTAGCATTACAGTGCGTCAGCGCTATCGCCATATTGTGAGTGGCATGTGTATTCGTTAGAAATAAAATAACCTCCAGAGCAGTTAGTGTGTCAATGCCTTCATTTCTTCAATAGTGGTCAGAAATCCTAGAAATATTAACTCATGGAATCCGTCTTTGTTCTTATCTATGGAAGCCAGTTTCCATAGATAGGAGTAGTAAAAAAGGCACATGATATATCGTAATTATGAGATTTGAAGTTATGATTTTAACTTTCAGATTCAAAGTCATTATTCAGCTTTCAAAATCCCAATGATCAGATTTAAAATCATTATTATGGGATAAAAGTGATCATATTAAGATTCAAATTCATAATATATAAAGTCATGATTTAGACTTTAAGTTTAATGACATAAAGTTTATAATAGCGATTACTTTAAATCTTGCAACTATGACTTTGAAAGTCAAAATGATGACATGCAATGTCCCTTGTTTTACTTTCAAGTAGTGGAAATGGGGTTTAATATTCATCGCATATATTCCAAAGTAGATCTGTCTCTTGGCAAGCTTGAGAGCATTTTGGGCTTTTCCCAGAGGAGCTCAAGGGGAAGTGAACGGAAAGGGAAGCCCAGGCGTCTCGGGTAAGTCTGCTTCCCTGCAACTAAGTCCTAAATAAACAAGGTGAAGGTGACGAGTATGACAACTGTGTATTGCATTGGCAGTCAGTCATTGTACAGATCACGTTTGAGATGCTGTCATTGTGCTCAAGTGTGACATATAAATTTGGATTTCATGTTTTCTTTATGAGTGCAAAAACTGACGTTGCTATTTTTGCAGACTGTGTGACTATTCCCTGTCTTATTTATAATTTTTGACTTTTGAGATTAGGGCGGTTGTAAAAGTAAGGAAAGAAAATTAAATTTTGAATGAAATAAAAAACAAATCTCATTCAATTGTACTTTATTATCCAAGCTAAATACCAAAAACATAGGTAAAATAAAATAAAAAAATGCTTCTTGTTGCATAGTAGACAAACACAGGGCAGTTAACTTATTTATAATATGTGGGGCTATTCACAGAAAGCATTAAAAGGATCATTTTTTCACTCTTTGGAAGTTTTCTTCAGCTTGGTCTTGAGTTCAGACATAAGTGGATTTCCAAATCTGTGGAGATATAGAAGAGAGAAAGTAAGAGAAATTCCTGATACTTTTAGTTTGCTTAAAATAACGTTAGGATTTTGAAGGACAATTTTCTTTTTTTTACCCTGGTTGTCCTGGGGGCATCCATTTAGGCCTCTTTGGTGCTTCATCTTTTTTAGCAGCATCACTCTTCTCTTCCTCTTCCTTTTTCTCAGTAGTCTCAGTAGATTCCTTTTGTAATAGCATAAAATCCAATAAAACTTCATCCAAAATAAACATAAATAACAATATATAGATTAATGCATTACCTGTGATTTTGTTTCTGGGTTATCCTCGTTTTTTGAGGCCCGTGGTGTCTTCCTTAAAACAGGAAAACCAGCTCCAAGCCCTGATTCCAAAAGTATAAAAAATATTTACAAATGACTGAAAAAGTACTTATATGCCATAGAGAAGCAGACCTACCTGGCAGTTTGATCCCAACCCCTAAGCCGCCTAAAGGCACACCTGGAAGAGCTTTGCCAGACACAGGTGTTGATGGAGTTGGATCCACAGAGGGCATGTTAATTAAAGAGCGGGGGTCTGTGGGGGGTCTAACACGAGGGTTTTTCACAGCAATCCGAGACCTTTGCAGTGCAAAATCTAGGATGGGGCCTTCGACCTGCAAGGGCAAAATCATTTCACTTTATAGCTCATCTGCTTTTTAAAAAACTGTGATGCTTTTGGTTTGATCAGAAACAATACCTTGCTTAGATTTTCTTCCAGCTCAGTCCTGCTTGAGTCTGGAAAAGATTTGATGATGTCCCCCGGCGATCTGTGCTCTGGTGCCAACGGAGTGAATTGCTGCCTCTCAGATTCAACCTGGGAGTTCTTTCTGTGTTGCCATGACTCCAGAGGTTGGATTTCTTCAGAGATTTCAGCCACTGTTGCTTCAAGGAGATCATCTTCAGTTATTGTTTTCTGTTCGAATTCAGTGTCTCTGCACATTGCACTAATTTCCACTCCTGTCTTTTCTTTTGTTTCATCTGACTTTTCTTGAGATGTAGCGCATTCCTGAATTGGATGACATTCCCCTGGTGAGGAAACTCCTGAATCTTGGTAGGATCTGATTTCACTGAATGCTGTAACTTCAGTTGTTTCCTGAACCAATGCAGAGTCAAATATAGGCATTGAAAACTCAGCGACATCTTCTGAACTTGACCCAGCATTTGGTATGTTATTTATATCTTCAAGCAATCCAGTGCTTGCTGTTTTTTCACTGAAATGCTGATCCAATAGTCCAGGCTCAAATGTTGACAAGGAAGTTTCTGTCTCGCTTGGTGATGCAGGTTCTTCTGAATTTGCTTTCATTTCCTCTTCTCTCTCGTCCTCAAATGATGTTTCACCTGACTCCTCATTTACTTGGTCCTTTTGTAGTCCGGGTCCAGAAAGATCTTCTTCTTTAGACCTTTCAGTGTCATCTGACATCACTGTCTCTATCCACAAATCAAGAATTTCTTCATCAATCACACCCTGATGTTCTCCAGCTGAGTGTTCTGAGTATCCCTCATGTTTTTCTTCCACTGCTGAGATCAAGGGAAGCCCTTCAGATGTAGTCAACTTTGGTTCATCAGTACTTTCTATATCTGTTGTTACATCTGCCTGAGTCATCTCAGCCAATCTGTGTGGAGATTGATTAGTTTTCTCTAGATGTTGAGATGTTTCCCATTTTCCTATCATCTGATCAGCTGACATCCCCCCTAACTGGAGGGGTGTCATTTCCAGTTCTCCTTCATCAGTGCACCCTTGTTCTTCAGCGTCAAACTCCAACTGCAGAGGTTTGACGGCACTAACATCAAATAATTTAGATTTGATCTCTTCTGAGTTTTTCAAGTTACCATGATCATCCTGTAAACTAAAAGACTGTACATTTGGACCAAGGTTTATTCCTGTCCTCTTTTCTTGTCCCTCGAGGGATTCGGTAGATTCATCTGCAAAATCAGCCCCTTTATCAACTGTTAGAGCTTCTCTTTTCCCAAAACCATCTATTGCAGCTTCTTTAGATAGCCTGGCAATTTCAAATTCAACTGTTTCATCCTGCTGCCCAGTCTCATCCTCTGAGTATTCCTCAAATTCTTGATCCGCTTGTTTGAACTCCGTCTTCATTGAGGTAGCAACTATTTTGACCTTTTCTTCCTCAGAGAATTGTTCTAATTCCAGATTTATGTTGTCACTCTTTGGCTTCTCTGGATCTTGGTGTTTCAGTCTGCTCCTTCTCAATGAATTCCAGCTCGTTTCTGCTTTCCTCTGCGCTGCCTTGTCCTATCGGTAAATATTCAGCTCCTCCTGTGCTGCTGCTTTTAAAGACCCCCACCTCTTCTGGTAAGTCTGTGTTTTGAATTTCCTCTGAATTTCCCTCTTCTAAGAAGCTTTGTGTGGAATTTGCATCTGATTCGAGGTCATTGTTGTACTCAGGAACTGCCTCTGGAGTTTCCTCATGAGCTTCAGCGTCGAGCTCGGCAGACTGGGCAGCCTGGCCTTCTATTACCCCCAAGGGAATATTGTTAAAGCCTGTGTTTATTTCCCGTGCAGACTCGCCTTCAGCTATTACAGTAACAGGAGTGGTTATACAAACTCTTTCCACGCAACCCTCCTCATTGACTTCAATAGAGAGCCTCTCACCTGCTGCTATTTCAGTATTTTCATCTGTTGAAATATCTTCCATGGTCACATTTTTCTCTGTGGCATTTTGAATAATGGTTTCCAGCAAATCCTCCTCTTTAAATGTGGTTGTCTCTGGAATTGAGACATTTTCCTCTAGCCCAACATCTTCAATTGTCATCTGGACATTCTCATCAATAAGCTCATCTAATTCTTCAGTTTTCTCATCTGAGGCATGTTGTTTTTCAGGGCTAAATTGTAATGTGTCTTCAGAGATTATACCATCTTCCAGCATCACTACACCTGCTTCAATTTCCCTTTGCTCTCCTGTCTCTTCATTCTTATCCTCCTCTTTGCTAACTGTGGATAGTTTTATCCCACTTTGTTTCTCAAAGTTTTGTTCATTTTCTTTTTCTTCATCTTCCTGAATGTTGCTTCTCTCTTCTCTTGAGTCTTTGGCTTCATCATCTTTTGGAGAACCATCTAGACTGACTGTGCTCTTAGGGTCCTCCCCAGCAGCATCTTTTTCATCTCTTTTTTCAATCTCTTCACATATTGCCTTTTTTCCTGTATCTGATCCAACACAAGCTTGGTCTTCTTTGCTTTCAAAGACATCATGTCCTTCACAGGTCTGCAGATGTTGGACAACATTTATCTCTTGTTCATCTTGATGTCCTTTCATGTCTTCTAAGTCTAAGTCTTCTGAGAAATTCTCCTCTGCATCATCTCCTTTTAGATCAAACTGTTCCTCT